ATGATTAGTTTATTACATGAATTTGGCGGTGTTTTTCGAAGACTACTGGTCATCTAAAAATGTGAGCATAAATAAAAGTAATCAGCGACTATGCTCTCAGTATTTCACCATGGTAGCAATTTATGAATGCTTGAATGCAGTTCTCATACTGCTTTTTTACGGTCTGTTTGCAATGATTATTATTCTCGCAAACAACACTAAGATAGTTAGAAAACATTCCAATTATGCCACAGTCTAGTGAAATACAAACTCATTTTGCAAACACCACCATCTAGCTGAAACTAATTCACTACTTGAAACTATAGTTATTAAGTTCCACTGAAAGGCAAGTGGGTTCACCGAACCAAATCAAATGGGATGAAACATAAGTGATTCTCATCACAATTATGTCACAGTGTATTGAGTTATAGTTCGGTTGAAATTATTTAAATTTGATAGATATATTGGTAGATAATCAGAAAGAAAAAACAGAAATGCACGTTGATAGCCACTAGTAGCCTGCTCATAATTTAAAAACACTAACAAGATGCATATAGTAGGCAAACAGGTAAAACCTGATCCAGGTGTTAAACTGAAGTGAATGAAAAAGAGCAGCGAATCTTGCAGTAATTTAGGTGATCTTCATATATAATAAAACATGAGAAGAATCTTTTATTCAATTTCTAAATGCACAAGAAGCACTCTTGACGCAAATAAAATATGCTTGTTAACAAATCTCGAGGGACTAAAATCCTCTAATTAATTTACATCAGTCAGGGAGAAAAAATTAAACTATACCAGTAGAATTTTGTCAATGGTTTTATCCATTTCATCTTCAGATTTGCGATGATTCTGCATCAGTTTCTCTCATTCCGAAGATATATGAAAACACTGATTGACTAGAGTCTATCCTGAATTTTTTTGTACACTAAGGTCGATATTTCTCAAGAATCAAGGTTTGAATCTGGAAAAATAATGATAGGGATTTCATAGGTATTGCATAAGTTATGAGATTATACTAATTAGTAACGCATTCTAATTTTAAGTTCATCGAATCAAGAGTGCATTATCCTGATCTTCATCTTTTTAAGGCGTTAGAAGCACTTATTACCACATCCTTGAAGTACCTCTCACAGAATTATATTCTGCTTGTATTATAAGCGCTAACTGATGTTTACACGAAAGTTAAGAATCGCAGTTCTTGTATAGGATCCACATAGTATTTAAATCTTAGGTAGTAGAATTAGTAAGAGATTGCAGCCAGGTAGTATATGTAAGTGTATGAGGAAATATATTCACAGTAACTTGTTATGCATAACGGTTATCACTTAAATCAAAAAGGTTCTTTGAAATGTTGAGAATGTAACTGGAAATCGCTTTAGTAGTGGCCAGGATTGGAATTCTGGATTTCCATTCTGTCTTGTTTTGGACTCCATATCTGGTCTTATCTGCATTCATCTTCACGTCGTCATCAGGATGCAAACCCAACAGACATTATTTTACCACCAAGTGTTATCCACTTAGTTACTGAGTTACTACACTCGCCTCTCATGAGCAAGTATAAGTTTCTATTCTTACTCTAAATTTCTCACTATCAGTTTCCTGAAGTAAATTGATCAGTTCGTTTAGAATGTGTGTATATGATGGAATGGTAATAATGCCTACCATTTCATTAACATTGCAGACCTGTCAGTACGGTAGTAATTCACTTGCAATCAAGATTTACATGCATTAAAGGTCAAAAATAATCATACGTAATCAACTTATTTCACTTTGTCCTGAAGTTTACCGTGATAATTTTGTCTAGTATGACATTGAAGCATTTACGAATCATGTCTGAAGCTTAAAAAATAACTGAATCCGGGTAGAAGAAAGCATGCTCATTGCTGACTAGATACTCAGCAGCCTACATGTCAATATCGGCCGACCATTTCGGTCGAATCAGCGACATGAAATTATAAGCTACAAAATCGAAACTATATCTGTCACACAAGGAATAGCCAACGTAACTCAACGGCTTAGTGGATAACGCTCTTGCGTTCGAAGCGATGAGTTATGGATTTGAGTCCTTGGTGGAACAACATCACTCACTTGGAGGTAGGTACCTCCGGCTGGTGAATCCATAATTGTATGAAAAGTGAGTTCTAGATTCCACTGGTAGCCTTAATCTGTCATTACTGTCATTCAAGTCAAATATGTGAACTATTTTTGTAGAAATCTTGAGTATTTCTGAACAAGTGCATGCACACAAACTTGCTGCTCTTTAACAAGTTGGAGATTTAGTGTTGTTATTAGCATTCATATTACTCACATTATCACAGTGTGAAGCCTTTCTGAATTATCTGGGTTTCTTGAAAAATACGTTTTCTTAGGAATACAGATTTACACTAACGCACGGTTATTCGTTTGTTCTGAGTACTTTACTTACTCATCATACTTCAGTCTATCCAATAATGATGAAAATAAACATTGTTATTTCTACTTCATATTGTTTATAAGCTGATACTACTAACCTTTATCTGCATTTTTCTCATTTAGTTGACCTACCACAGGGTCAACAGTTGTGTCCAGCGGTTTACTATATTACTCCTACTGAGGCAAGTACTGAAGGTGGTTCTTCGATCATGATTTTCGGATGTGGTAAGTCAAAACTGTTTCTTAAAATCATCCATGAATCCACAGCAATTTCCCTCACTTAAACAGGTCATTAAAAAGGTTAAAAAACCATGATCTTTATTGAGTCAATATATGAATGAAATATATCCTGTATATCATTGCTTAGCTATGATTAGTATGTCTAGATATTTCCTTTCAACAAAGGTTTTGATTCCAGTTTATTAGCAAGGTCAATTAGTCAAACTGGTACTTTAGTGATCAAGATGACAGTTTTTTTGATTAACTGTTCGATATAATAATCAGTTCAGCCTAATCGATGAACCCGGACAAACAACAAAACTGAAAAAAGGAGGAACTCATATTATTTCAGTACTTTCTCAATCGCTGTTTCTGAGCCGAGTAATAAATAAATAAGCGAAAATTTCCTCGAATAATGTTTTGTATTCTTTGTTATCAAAATATCAACTGACATGCTAAGAATTCGTTTACCTGTTTGTTTGATGCAAAGACTATTTATTTACTTAAGCTATTTGTAGCTGACACAATTAGGTGAACTAAGATCATTTCATCTTATTCTGGAAGTACTGTTTATTTAGTGACGTACCTTTCTAAATTCGTAGGAAATTTGGTCAGTTCTAATGAAATAGTCAAAATTTAGAGAGAATTATATCATTTCCAAAACCCTACTTATTGTATCAAAAGGAAAAAGTACTTAATGGAGTTTTGAATGTTCGATTGGTTTTCGTCATCTTGTCAACCTGAAACTAAATAAACATAGTTTCAGTTGGTTTGATGCTTGTTCTCAAATAATGCACTGAAGGTGTTATCTGAATTAATTTTGAAGGCTATTTTTTGTAAAATATGATGTATTCCTACTTTTAGTACATGAAATAGGAATTTTAAAAGATCAGGTCAGCCTCCTAGCTTGTTAGCCTTATTGAAAAATAATCGGCAGAATATAGTCAGCATTGAGGATTAGACGATATGAAATTGGTTGCGCCACAGTAACCAATCAGTGAAGTTTAAAATAGTTTATTGCTTGTAAGAAACAGTGGTCCAACCAAGAACCTATGACCCAACAAATATGCAGAAGTGGAGATGGATTGGGTATGCATTGAGAGAACCATTCGGGACATCACGCGCCGGACCAGGTCCTCGGGTGGAATGCAAAGGGGAAACGACGAGTTGGGCGTCCAGCTGAGGGTGACATGGAGGAGATCATGTGAGGAAGAACTGAGAGCTTGTGGACAGTTGTGGAGCCAGGTTGAAAGACTACAGAGAAGAGAGTTCAATGGAGGCGTGCTATTGAAGCCGTATGTTCCACTAGGAACCAAGGGACAAATAAAAATAATCGAATATCACCGATGAAAGTGACTCCAAATGAACGAGAATACCATCTTCTAGATATCTATACACAACACAGATAACTTCTAACAACCGGCATTCTGAATCAGTGCAAAATGATAATTTCTAAGTATCTGCTAGTCTGAAGTGGAAGAATATGATGGCAAACAGCATTACGCAGAAAAAGACACTTTCACCAGACCAACAAATAACAGTATATGCGTTACATGAAAGAAAAAGATGAAAGAGCATAAAAATTAGTCTATTATTTGATACTTTTTCACTCTCTTGCTGAAATCATACGATTTAATCACTTAAGCCTGTTTTGATTAATGTATTTCTTTTACTTTGAAGTTATGCAAACGAATGCAGTGAAATCCTCTTTCCAGCTAAAAGCGAAAATGAGCAATATACTTAGTGATCAATAGGCTGAAAGAGACATTCACTATATTAAAGTACTCACTAAGTTAGAACTAACCAACATATATGCATAAACCACTAATTGACCAATGGAGCAAATTTACTTCAAGCATATCATACATGTCTACAGAGAGAACTATGTTGTTTTCTTCAAAATGCTGTGGATTCTCAACTACGTTTATGTGAAAAAAGGGAGATATTACTTCAGTTGATTTTCCGGTGCAATCAGACTGAAGTACTCGCAGAAAGTCAACACGACGGATGACTGTGCTTAGGCATAACTCATATACTGTTGCGTGCAGAAGTTTCTTCATGTATATGAACATCACACGTCCTACAAGTCTAATAAATAAGTTTGTAACTCCATGATAAAATAGTGTTGACTCATCATACCCATGAAAACAAATTTCTGCAAAAATATGAGATTATACCGTAGAAACAGTAAGGTGATTTTATGTAATACGGTTGCAAGAGATTACATTACTTTTTTCCCACTGTATCGCCTTTTCCGACTGTGTTTCAGATTTTCAGTTACTTACCGGTTTGAAATATCTGGTATACAACCACAAATTGGTAGTTTTATGGGTGGACAGATTTTAAATATAGATGGAGAGGGATTTGACGACAACACAAAAGTTTTTATGAAGCCTATTAGTAATGAAAATCAGTTATGTTACAACCGACCTGCTTCGAAATGTGAAATAATTTCTATGGATTCAAAGCGGATAAAGTGTAAAACAGGATCATTAGTTAAAACGCATTATGTTACCGACTGTGGTGTAAGCCAAGGTGAGTCCTCTTTAATTCTGAAGATTAAATACTTGAATGCTTGAAAAATAAAACTATGTTCAAAAGATACTTATATCAGTAAAAATGCCATTACTACAATGATTAAACAAACCTTTGGAGTTGTCAAGTGATTTAACTCATATAATTATATGCATACTTTCACGCTTTTACATGGCCACCTTCTGTACGCCTACTGTTCATTACTTCCTGCATTTTGAGCTAAAATTACTAGATGAGTTACAAAGTTGCGAAGATGAAAAATCATTAACCTATTCTTCATAACTTTGTTAGTTTACAGCTAAAACGCTTATGCGATATGAACAAAGAAGGTGATAAGACAAAATACTACAAATTCTCATGAGAGTTGTGTGAATAAAGCAAGAAGAAGAGTAGAAGTAGAATTAACATATACGTATTTCTTGGATTCCTCTCAGCCGCTGTACACCTTTCATGAATTTGAAAAGGGTGCACTGATTGAGATGGGAGATAACAAAGTTTCACGGAATCCTACAGAAATAATTATGATTATCAACTAAAATAGCCACTGGTTACTTACATGCTTTGCGAAGCTCATTCTTTGTGACAAAGTTGTAGCGTACAGTAATAAGGAGTCGTTTTCCTAAATCATGATAACAATGATAAGAATATATATTTACTCATAACTCTATGAATGAATGTCAGCAATTTCTTTTAGTTAGTTTAAAAAGTATAATTTTTGTAAAAATACTGCACAAGCGTTTCTGATATACAAACTTGGGAAATTCTTATAACATGTACTTATTTAACAATAATTTGAGAAAATTAAAATTACTTGACATGCAGACATGAAGGGATTGGAGATTAAAAAATATAGATTTATAATTTCTTCAGGGAAATATACATATCTGAGATTATAAACTCAGATTACTTCTTAGCTAGAACTTTTCTGATGTGTGCAAAGCGATGCATTTTGTTCTTTCCTGTTATGCAGCTGTAAGACATGGTCGTTAAAAACAGAAGACATGAAACTATTACAAAGGTTGATCATACGTGTCTTCGTAGCATTGCCAGTGTATGGTGGAATCACCATGTGAGTAATGTTGAGGTCAGGCGAAATGTACTAAGGTCGATAAGCAAGTCGGTCGGTGGGTTATGAACCTTTATCAACTGGGGTAGCTAGGACATTGTTGCGCATCCCAAACGACCACCTACCTCACTATGTCATACTAGGAGAAGCTGGAAGAGGGTTCAGGGTGGCCAGACCAAGAAGCTACAGTAATCAAAGTCCCTAACTGTTGGTCTCAGACTTATGGAGAGACATAGACTGCCTGGCTGGAGTCCCCAAGACAATAGGAATCAATTGTTGAGACGTCCTGGTGACATGGCTAAAAATCAGCCACAGTGACGTAGATGTATTCACCCCTGACATCTTCCAAAGTCTGAATATTTGCACGAACCGTTTTCTTCAAATTTTGTATTGTCATACAATTTTGTCTATTTTGATAACAGTCACTTTCTATCCATCTATTCTCTGTGCACTAGTACAAAGTGTGGCAACTTGAAGCAATACATTTATGTGGAGGGTTCTACGTTGATTATGTCAGCCAGTTAGTCAACTGGATGATATGTTAAACTATCGTACAACTTTCCTTTTTTAGAACGAGGCGTAGGATATGAATGGGAACCAAAAACTTTAACTATAATTCAAGGAGATAGCGTAGCATGGATATGGAATACAACAACTCGAACAAATCCGCTTATGGTAGCGGAGTTAACTGGTCCTGAAGATCTTACTCCTTCTGTGTTCGGATTTCATAGCGGTGAACCAAAATTGAATGGTAATTTAACTAAACTGTATGGAATGTAACTTTGCTTTAGACTCCTATGCACCTATTTTCCTCATTATTGCAAGACTATAGAATTCTTTTAGTAGAGAAGTCAAATATTTGAAGTAAACTTAAGCAGTGTCTTGTATGTTTTTTACGTTTTTATCAGTGTTTGAGATAGTCTCTTCACTGATTTTAATACCATTATTTGTTATGAAAGCAAAATGTTGGAGAAAGAAAAATATAAATCTCAAATAAATATTATCGACTATATTAATAAATTTATTTTAAAATACATTCTACTGGAAACTTATCGTACTAATTTGTACCTCTGCTGCAAAGTTTTGCATTACTCCTTCGCCTATTTTCTTATGATTTATTGATATGAAATGGCTGACTGTTGAAGAAAACTAGTTGTCATGCATAGATCCGTTTTCTCTGTAGAAAGCCAGGAATTTCATCTCTTTTTGACTTACTGTATGAAGTGAGCACATGATTTGGTTTCATTTATGAGTGATTCAAACTAATAAAAAGTTTGGAGGATCAGCCTTGTCCTCTATCCAGAGATTATTGGGAAGACTGTCGCATGGCTAAAAGTATAGTTACATATGTACCTCAACACATACTAAGACATTATACATAAGCTAATTAGAAAATCATGTGATCACAAGGCATCATTGAAACCATAGCACCTGGTGCAACTGATCATGGGAGAATTTTTTAAAAACCAATCGATAACTGGTCGGCAACTGATTTCAGCTAACATTCACAGAATACACAAGTTTATCAAAACAATAAAATAGCATATGAAAATAGTTCAGATGAAAAACGGAATACAAACTTCAATATAGTTAGCTATCAGAATGCGTAATTGGCACAAGTGGACAAACACAACTCGCTGTTAGCTGGAGATTTCATCCATATTGGTATGGGGGCAAACTGGTTAGACTAAGGCCAAACCAAACAGTTACCATTTCACATTTTTGAGTTGCATACTTTGCGATCATTTTTTTTTATCTAAAAAAAATTGAGTTACCAATATATACACCCAATTTTACCAAGCAGATTTATCACTAGCATCATTTGTGCTAAGTTCGTCAACTAGGACTTACAACACTCCACACAGATTTTAAGCTTTTTAAAGAGTTATTGCTGTTTACACTGTGAATCAACAGCTCACTCTTTAAGTATATTGAAAGTAATTTTTGATAGCAGGACTAGTTTTTCAGCATTCTCACATACACCTGCTCTGATGTCTAAGTATTTCTATCACTTGATAAAACGAAACACAAAGGTAGCATTCATAATGGATTAAAATCAGTTGTAGAACCACTGAGAACCTGGAAGGACTGGAAAACTGTATCATCCTGGTATAGGTCTTCCGCCTTGATCCCTTGCTGGGTCATCTGTGGGCACTGCTGGATAGTCCCATACAAGAACAAGAAGTCAATAAATCCCAGTAAACCTCCAAACTGAAAAATACAAAAGCTTATTTCAGAGGTTAACTGAATTAAGTGTTTTACTTATTGATATATTCTCAGCATTTCTATTTACAACCTGTAGCTGGAAGTCTGTAATTGCTTGACTCAAAAGAAATATCATCAGGTTAAGTAGTAGCCTAACGCTAAAGAACATGTATAGAATATTTGAATGGGAAAATAAACCAAATCACCAGATAAAAGTCAGTGTTTTGGTGAGAAAGTATTTGGTCAAATATAGGAAATTGTTACCAAGGTTGGGAAAACTGGACATTCTTATCCTATAATGTACACAATTTAGGATAGCTTATGCGTAGGAAACTGGATCTCCTTTGTCCCGTTAAACTTCTTCGGTGATAAAATACTTTCATCATATTGAAAATGTTTCTGGTAACACTTTCAAACGACACAATATAACACTTAAATTATGTATTATTCTTGGGAAATGGAATATCTTAAGATACGACTCCCTTGCATTCAAACAATTTACTTTAGATAACAACAGAGTGGTGGAGTTAGTGAAGTAATTATACTTTCATAGCCTTGCAGTGAAGTAAACCGTTAAACTAGCTGAACACACACAGAATAACTATTTGGGGTTCTCTAAATCTTGATATTTGACCATGTACACGTAATTACTGGGCTCTGTCAGTTCACAAGTTTGAATATCACCAAACAATTATCGTCTTCAATTTGAGGGACAAATCTTGTCTACCATTTTAAATACATGTTCGTTACATATGAGCTTCGTATACATTTCTTGGCTTTCACATCAAATGTACATTGGCGTAAATCGATCTTTTTCATCTGTTATAACTATGTGATTGAGAACTCCTATAATAATTTCAACATATACTGTTTTCTACTTCATATTCAGGAGTGTATAGATACAATTTTACTGAACCCGGGACTTATTACTATGCATCATCAGAGGACTTCGTAATGATGGGCATTGTAGAGGTCATACCATTCGATGACTGTGTAACTGAAGTTGTCGTACAGACAGATTATTCAACAGCTATACACAAAAATGTTCCAGGTAAGCAGATTATTTGTTATTTTTTCAGCAAGTTTCTCATAATAAAGAAGTAAGAGTTCTTTGAGTGACAGCTAATCGATAAACATCTAGTGACAATGTTACACTAATATTCAGGAAATCAATTCATAAAACTTTCTGCAATCAATAGAATGAATAAAATGGTTTTGTATGTTTAACTGTTTGATTTTTAGACCCAAAATTGTATGATGATGTCACTCATATTAAGCTGTAACTGACAATAAGCATACTGAAAGATTAATTTATAAAATATAGGCTGCTTAACCAGTGCTGCATGTATTTCACTAAAAATCTTATTTTGTTGACGTAGACTCATACATTCCATAAACCTACATTCAGATTGTTTAAAACAATTAAATAAATTTACATGGAGTCAACTATATTATTTCACACTTTCAATTTTTATACCCTTTTCTTGTTAGAAATTACCGTAAGCTGGGATCCTCTAACAACGTGTTCAGGTGGAATCAGCTGCAGTAGTTTAGTGAGACCCAAGGAGTTGTCAGGAATACACGGTTTTGTGTATAGAGGATGTGCAACTCCTCGAGTGTCATCTTTCACTCCTTCCAATATATATGCTGAAAGTGAAGTGGAGATAATTTCAAGTATACTAGCAGACTGTGCACACCAAGTAACGATTACTTTGGGTGGAGCATACTGTATATCACCTTTTCATGATGTCAGTGTAGCAGGATCTCTTAAATGCACATTGACAGAAGAACAGGCTGTATTGGCCAATTTGATAACTGGACAGCCATTGAGGCCATCTATTTTCCACAAAGATGTTGGGATGGCTCTTCTTACAGTATCTCGCAATGAATTCGAACAGTATGCGTTTTTTTGGCCTAGAGTTAATTGTATCAAAACCAAAGGAGTAGGAAGTATTCTAGGTGGTGGGCAGTTTATTGTTTACGGTTCAGGCTTTGATCCTACGAATATTGATTTGAATTCGGTAACCTTTAACTCCGGTCAAAAGTGTTCAGTTATTGAAGTTACTTCAGGTTATCTTAAATGTTTGGTTCCAACACCAAGTAATACAACAATTACATCAAGTTATAATGTGACAGTTCAGGTGCAAACCAAGCCAAAAGGTCAAGACCAATGGGTGAATTTTGAGCCTAGTAGTGCAGGTGATTGCATATATTCCTACGCTTTAGCAGCTACACCGATAGTACAAACGATTGAACCTCGTGAAGTAAATATTAATCAAACTCTTAAAATTGGTGGAAGCAATCTGTTTCTTCCAGGAGAAATCTCTTCTTCTATACAAGTTTACGTCGGCAAAATTCCATGTATAGTTGATCCATTATCAAGTTCCACAGATCTGTTGTTGTGCCAGATAACTGGATCTTTACCAGCTGGATATGTAAATCTTAAGTTATTCCATGAAATTCGAGGCAATGCAATGTACAAAACAAGTTTAACGCTAAAAAGTCAAACGTCTATATTTTCAATAGACCCGAACGAGGGGAGTTTTGCTGGAGGCACAGTTGTGAGAATAACTGGAAACGGTTTAGATGATCCAAGTATTCGAATTTATTTTGGTTCAGAGGCATGCCAGATAAAAAGTGAAAATCGATCTACGTATCAGGTTTATTGCCTGACCCCTCACAAAAAAACTATTTAAATTCATCTAGTTATAAGGTAGCGGTGAACACTACCAGTGGATCTTCTTTTCCCGATGGATTTACTTACACAAATACGAAAACTCCTACGATCTCCTCTGTTACAACTGATTCAACAACAATTAATGGGACACTGGTCAACCAACTAAACATATATGGTAGTAAGTTGCTGGGTGACTCATCAAAAAATAAGACCACTGAAGTTAAATATAATGAAATGATATGTGTCCTGATGAACATTGACGAATATTACATTCAGTGTTATCTGCCTAATTTACCAAGTGGGCAATATCAACTTCATGTGGATACACCAGGATATGGTTACGCACTTTCAGATTTTACGACAACTGTGAATTTCTCGTTGAATTCAGTAAATCCTTCTTCAGGTCAGTTTAAAGATTTTACTGGTGTGAAAGCATTGATATCCTCAGTTATGAATCAAATCCCTCAGAGAAAACAGTATATATTGTATGAGAAAGAATCAAGCTTTGTTATCTAGATATAGATTTGTAATCAGTCAGCATTCTTTCAGGGAAAATAAATGCTATTCATTACAAACAGTGTATCTTGTTCAGATGTGGTGGAAATTGTAAAGGATCCCTACCTAAGACTGAAAATTCATTGAGTAAGTTCAAATAGTTCTGTATACCCTGAAAAAAGATGGTCTACAATTGAGTTCTTACAGATACACATATATCGTTAGCAAGATAACCTAAGTACATACTGTGTACTGATCCTAAAGTTATTAGATGTAGCACTGTATGCTAAAATTTGGAAACGATTTTAAATGGATAAATTAAATTAACCAGTTCTCAGGTACCTGGAAAGGTATCTCAATGTATGCTTATGAATACATCAAATATAGGTAACTGATGCATATTTGTCACTGGAATTCTGTCTACCAAACTAGTTTGAGTGACACAGAAATGTGATGCATTGAACACAACTTTCCATTTCATAAGCTGACTGATGGAAAATCATTCATCTGTAAGTCATTGCTGTGATATGGAGTGCTGCGTGTCAAAATTTGTGACTTCAGCGGTAAATGGCGCATTTTCGGATCTTCAGCTAACGGTAACCAACTTCAGCGTTTTAAATAGATCTTTTTGATGAATATTAACCAGTATGGAAGCTAATACATGTATGACTTTATACTGGTTAACTATGAATATCCAAAACATATAACTGAACTGATCTTCTTTGAGTTATGTTCAATGGGCAACTGCCGATCAAATATGAAGACACTTTTTAATCACCTTAGCTTACAAGTGCTGAACCATTAATTGTCAATGATTCACAATCCTGACTTATACTAAATAGTAAACTAAACTCTAATTTCTTCCTCATTAGTACCGTTATTATGAGTCCTGATAAAACTGTTCTTGTTTGCACTGTTGCTCTGACCACTATTATTTGCGACAGTAGTCAGTGTTCTCTGCTTTCTACAATGGTTAGAGTTTATCTTTTGGTAGCGCTTAATGTTAAGTCTAATTTAGTGATCATTTTTAACAGCTCAGCATATTTTATTGGAATTCAACTACGAAATTCTACGTAATGGAGGAATGCGTTGAGTACCGATATTGATCTGATCATATCAGTGAAAAGCTGTTTATTTTAAAGTATCAAAATGATGAGAAGAGATTTTACAGGTTGTCAACCTTGGTAAAAGTTAGTATGAACATTACTAAGTAATGAAACACTATAGCTTTTTCACTGAATAAGAAGCAACCAAAATCCTGTCGATTTCTTGTTGTACAACTGCATGCTTCTGCATTCAGGGACACTGAAAAATACCTACAAAAAGTTAAGAAAAGTTCGAGGAAGGATTTATACATCATCATGGCTATTTTGCGAATTTGAAAACAAAGCGTATGAATGCCTAGTGGTTCGTAATAATTATGGACGAGGCTAAAAGTTATCCCCAGGTTTTATCGTGCCCATTTTAAGTTTTAGTGTTGTTTGTAGAAATATGAACATTTTCTGTGTTCTGTATTAATATTCTACCTATTTACATAGTTTTTAAAATGCCGTCTGTCGTTGAATCATGTTTCATACCGTTTATTCATGTGCAAAGTGTTGGAGCCATGGCTGCACTACCATTTCTTAGGCGGAAAGTAAGTACAGTTATTCAAGAAGAATGAGGCTCACAGATCACAGTAAGTTAACTGAGGTTTCAAATTACATCTAAAAGGATTTATGATTGGCTTTTTGACTTCAGTACTTTTCCATACAGAATACATAAAGCACATATTTTCACACAGAATTCCATAACACCTGAGGATAACTTTTAGCCTCACCCATAATTATTGCATGTATTGTATTGGACAGAAAAGCTTTCATTTTTCATATCCTATTTCAATACAATATATTAGTGTGTCAAATGTTTTCCTAAGCCTGCTTATTACATTTAAAGGTAGTGTAATTGGAGGACAGTTGATTGAAATCCAAGGCGTAGGAATGGACGTAGAAAAGAGTGTTGTCACTATATGCAGTCAAAAGTGTACGTTAGCTGGAGGCAGTTCACTTGTCTTAAGATGTATTACTCCTAAAATATGTAAGTGAATGAAGTATGTTTTCAATTTTTATATTTACTGATAATTAACCTGTTTATTGGTGTTTATATCAAACACTATCATAAAGTTTTCATTACTTACGGTTTCTACATTTTTAAAGAACTATGCAGAAAACCCATTCACTTTGATTTCCAAACTCTTGCTAACCACAGTTGTCCGGCATTCTTTTTGTCTTCAGCTTTCGACAGTGGATCATGAGATGGAAACTGGCTCCAACTATAGAAGTATTAGGTCATCAATTTAACATCTTCAGGTCTCACACACTAACTGTGATTTACCACTCATTGTACGAATAATTACATGAGTGATGAGTGGCACTGTTGACAAACTGTACATAATGAAGAGCATAAAAACTAGAGTGGCCCTCAAATTTCTTTTCCAACGTAGTCTTTGGCATAAAGTAATGCACTTTGCAGATAAATTTCCTGTAGAAAGTGGCCATTTGCTTTGTTGTCAAATAGATAATGCATTAAATAGGGGCGAATAACTGAATTTGTTTATGGAAAACATAAAGTTGCATTGCAAAATATAAACACAGTAAGATAATATTATTATCCATATTACACTAGCTGCTTGGGAGTATAAGTAGTTAGATAGTGCTCACATGAGTCTTTCGCATAGGGGACGTACGTGACAGTCTTTGTGAGCTATTTGGTATATAAACAACTAATCTGATTGTGAACAAACAATTTTTTGGTGTGTATGAATCGTGGTCAAACATTGGATTCCCAGTGAAACATTGACATTAGATATGTCATATTTGAGCAATTCTCAGCATGTCTGAAATGAGAAATAGGGAATTTATTTCAAGCACGCTGAGGTTTGTCTAAATATAACATATCTAATTTTTAGTTGTTGAAATACCAGTAAATAAGCCATGAACATTTCTTCAACAATGTATCTATAATATTAACGCAGTCACTACGCGCTCTGTCAACATCTAGTGTATTTATTACCTACAAGTATGCAAGCAAGATACAGACATTCTCATGATAAACATTTGATTATTCGCGTCTTACTTCACGTAAGTTATTTGAAGGTAATACGAAAGAAATAATCTGTTTTGTCAATTAACTATCTGTTTTATGTCACCAGTTCAAAGATGATTTTATCTTTGTTTGTCCTTTGTCAATTTTATTTCTTACCCAACCTGTACACCTAGCTACACAAGATTTGAAGGCATGTGATGTCACTTTGATAGTTCCAACTAGTAGTACAGTTTTACAAAATACACTAAAAGCGGCGTTCACCTATGATCCAAACACCACACCAAGTGTAACCAGTGTAGAACCTTTAGTTGGTGGAACTGGAGGAGGTACAAACCTTACAATCATTGGCAAAATGTTTGAGTAAGTCATTCATTGAAGCAGTTTTATTCGATTTTACAGGCAATAAGTTACATTACTGGCTAAAGCTGTGAATCAGTTTCCCTTAATTTATTAAAAAAGATAGTTTGAATAAAATATTTGTTTAGTCCAAGACCGAAATGCATAGTTGCTTGTTTACACAACTCAATGTTGCCAACAGATAAGTTATCTCACCAAGACAATTCATTCCTTCGATTAATTATATTCTGTCTTGTGTTTGGTTTGTTTAACAGCTGTATAAAAGCCTGTTATAGTTTCGGACCAGTTTGATGAATTTTCTACGCTAAAAATAATATTTTTAGTGAACAAAGCATAATGTCTAAGCTGATACACATAAAAATGTATATATAATAGTGAAAATAACAGAAATAAGGATGAATACTTCAAACAAAAATTGGATGCATCCTCTGAAATTCAAATTTTTTTATCGCTAAAACATGCCAATTATTCTTTGAACGGATAAATTATCATATGAAATAGACTGCACTCTTGAAATTATAAGCAGTTACTGTTGTGTATTTTTGAGAATTTCAGCACCTAGGTTGTAAATGTCGCTGTTAAATGTGTTAGTAAACCATTATTTGAAAAGTGTGTGTTGATTTTAAATTACATTCCGTTTCTTTTTTCACTCCGACATCCATAACTACTTTATATCATTCGACTAAGCACTTACAACTATAAGTGCTTTTATGAAACGTTCGGGGATGGTTTCTGTGACAATTAATCCTGATATTTTTAAATACAAGAGCTTGAGATGCAAATGTGAAGTGAAAATGATACCCAGTTGTAAATCATGCCGTGATTTACTGCAGAAACCAATATGTTTAGACTACAATATGTGATTCAACTTGCACCAATGCTATAGTCAACAAAAACAACAGTGTAGAATGCTGATTTAATTCAAAAGGAGTGAGTCACAGGCGAGGAACAATGCGAACAACTCAGGTTTCTGAGCAGAATCGACCCAGATACAATTAATCAACTAACATGTTTCGTGTTTGGAGCAGAATGACCAGACTAACTGGTACTGTTGCATCAAATGAAGTAGTTACAAACAGCCATTCCCTTCGGTAGTACGAGTATTAAAGCTTCTTGTAATCAGAAGTTTTTAAGTCATTATTATTTTTATAGCTTGTGAGTTTCAGTCTTTGATTTGACTGAGTTGATATTCTATGTATTCTTTAGTGAAGGCCTTGATATTGCCAGTAATTTCAGTTTGACACTGTAAGCTGTTACATCAAACTGTGGAGACCACATACGGACTGACTGTCCTTACTAAGATGCCAAATGAATAACTCCCAGCATTTGAAGTGATGGGCGATAAGTTTGATTTTCCATAGAAGCAGCATCACTCGCTAGGATATAGTTAAATTCATGCATTCCACTACTATCCATCAATTGAACAACTTTCTATGTTATCATAATTCTCTAAAAAGCGTTGCTAGTTTCTCACATTCAGTTTTCATCCGAACACATATGAAGGTTTTTTGTATACCCTGTTACCCACCCCTATTAAGAGATTGCAAACATAATGAGTCACTAAGACAACATATTTTAATGTCGTTTTGAATTTTTAGTGAATTAACTACTGTTAATATCGGTAATTCTCAATGTAATATAACGTCAATTAATGAGACCACAATCACTTGTCAAACAGATGTCCATAACGGGAGTGAGAAAGTACCTGTTGACGTCATAACTGGAAAATATGGAAAAGCCAATGGAGTGAGTTGACATTGTTATTGATAGTAAAAATGCCAAGATATTGAAATTTTATCAAAGAATAGAATAATAAAGTTGATGATAAGAACTGCAAATTAAAAGTCTTTAATTGAACATTTTCTTGCCTATATAATAGTATTTAAATTTAAGAGTGGATCGTTCATATAGTCAATAAGCAAATTTAACATAGTCTTTCAGATGATTTAATGTATCTGATTCTAAAATCCAAAACTTGTCTCCTTTACATTTACAATACCTGGAGCATATTTCAGTTTCGCAGTAAGTTCAACACAGCTTCGTTGCACGTGTCAGGTTATAGTCGTTACTCATTTTCATTAGTTCAAACACATTGAAGGACCAACATTACTGATGGAACAGTAATATCAGCTTGTACATTAAAAATTCTAAAACATGATTAAAATGACTGATCAGAGTAATAGTTAGCTTTTAATGATCAAAGTTACAGAAAAATACAGCGATTATTGATGTTCAATAACTACTGATAAATTCATTCATTTGGTTTTGAGTCACATTTGATGAATTATTCAGAAAAGTTATTCGAAAATTGAAGAAAAGAATTACAATCATTGAACATATGGTTGCTTTTCTAGTGCATGAACACCTGAATAAATGAGTTGTTTATTGAAGTTAAGGCACATTGAATACTTTGCCTTCTAGTAGCATATTACTATTATTTGTCCATTGCCTTCCTAGTGCAACATACGGTTTCAGTAGCACATCTCCATCTCACTCTCTTCTCTGAAGTCTTCAAAACCTGGCTCCACAACTATCCAAAGAAGCTTTCATTTCTTCCCCATGTGATCTCCTCCATATCACCCTCACCACGGATACCCAACTCGTCGTTTCCCCTTTCCGTTCCATTCAAGGATCCAGTCTGGAGCGTGATGTCCCCAATCGGTCTTCTCAGTGTATGCCAATCCAATCCATCTACACCTACTTCCACTGCTTATTTATTGGGTGATGGGTTCTTGGTTGGTTGGTGTGTGGCCGGCCAGCCAACCAGCCAGCCAGCCAGCCAGCAAGTGTTTCTTGCTGTTTATTCTTATTACTCTGGCCATCTGATCTCCATCTTCACTATCGAGTGAGCATAGGTGGCAGCTGTTCATAATTTATGTCTGCAGTTTGTTGGAAATGCATTTCGTGACGCGCCAAGACTCGCAACCACCACAGAGAAGCACTGACTTGACTGAAGTTGGTGTTGAAAATCCTGTTCACGTTATTTATGCTGAGTGCAGTGCAATGTAGTGTAGTGTAGTGTAGTGTGGTGTAGTGTAGTGTAGTGTGGTGCAGTGTAGTGTAGTGTAGTGGATTGCAGTAGATCTCCACACTGGTTTCAGGTTGATGAAGACCTGTCTTGCTGTCCTCCCCATCCTGGCTGGCTTCGACATCCTCATCTGTGCCACCAGTGGTTGAAATGATGCTGCCTGAGCAGGTAGGCAGGTGAAAGAGACCACTTCGTTTACACTTCTCCCATTCATGGTGATTGATTCTTGTTGCTGTTTTTATTCTTGGTGCTGTTATTGTTGGTTGGGTGTCTTCATCACCTCTGTCTTCCCCACATTCACTTGAAGTCCCATCCTCCCTCCCCTGCCTCTTCTGTCAACTGGTTGCCTTCTGCCTGTAGATCTACGACTTTGCATGACATTAGATATCAGACATAAATTATCATGATTGGCGGTGGTGGCGGTGAAATCCAAATCTTCTTTTGAGGTCTTTCCATCGGTTCACACGGCGTATGTCCATCTTCTCACAACTCCTCACGGTTTCCTGCATGATCCAATTCAATTCAATCCAATCCAATCCAATCCAGTCCAGTCTAGTCCAGTCCGGTCCGGTCCGGTCGACTACAATCAGGAAGATCATTGGTGATGGTAGGCGGCAGCCACATCTCACTCCTGTCTTCACTTCAAAGGCGTCCCCGACCATTCCATTGTGAATCACTCGACTGGCGTGTGGCATCATATAGCAAGCATATAGCTGGTGTTCAATGAGATTCATAAAGATTTGTGGCACCAGAATCGTAGTGTTGAAGCAGCAGCCTGACAAATCACTTCTCGGTCGACGCTGTCGAAGCAAGGTCTTTTCAAAATCGATGAAGTTGAGGTGAGGTAGAGAGTTGACTTCCATTGTATACTCTGTTCTATGATGATGTGTAGTGTGGCGTTGCATTTTGATCCGCACATGATTTCTTCTCACTGAAATCAGTCAGTCAGCCAACCAACTGGCCAGTCAGCCTGCCTGCCTGCCTGCCTGCCAGCCTGTTCCGGTGGTAATTTCGAATCCAGAACACCTTTCAATCTGTCCCCTGCACTACACTACACTGAAATGCAATGAAATGCAGTGCAATGCATTGCACCGGTTCATCTTCTGCTTCAACATCACCATCTTCCTCTCCTTGCTCTTCCAGCTTCCATGTGTCCCTCCACATCCATAACTCGTCTCGCCTCTACCTCTTCCTTCCTAACACGGTTATGCAGGTTTCCTTCCACGTCGATTTCACACGGTTCCAGTGTTCTCCCATGCATGTTTATTCAGGAATGTTGCTCAATGTCTACCGTTTTGTCTTGATGGCTGACTGACTTGAGGATTTCCTTTGTGGTTTCGTCTTTCAGTTCAGTTCAGTTTGTGTTCTGGGTGTTGAACTTCAACTGTGAATGTGCAGACGTCCGCAAACATTTATCTGTTCTCCTCCATTTCACCTGATGCTTCTGGATGCATTATGAATTCTTTTACTGTGTTATTTCGTTTCAGTGTTGCATTCATGTCACCTGTGAGAATGAATTTTGATGTTGCTAACTGTGTTGAAGTCATTTCTAGTACCGATTGCAGTTGTTTGTAGTATTCTTCCTTCTTACCTCGATCTGCATTATTTATAGGTGCATAGTGTGGCATTGTATGATTGTGACTTTCCTTCCTCTCCAGTTGAATCCATCCTACTGTCATGATGCTGATCCTGTAGGAGGAGATTGGTTCACATTGCATGGGAGGAAGAGATAGAGAGAGAGAGAGAGAGAGAGAGAGTATCTTCTATGCTGTTTGGAGGGGGACATCGTGATAGTCACTCGGAAACTCAGTGTGTTGGTGGTTGTCGTTTGGGCGACAATATTGGAGTAGATTATTTACTGTCCAGTTGACAGTTTGTAGAGTCCATTTCCATTCCATCTACTCTCTCAGATTGCTAGCACTTGTGTACCATACCTCCTCATCTCTTTTGGAATCTGTCCAGCCTTGCTAGGTTCAAACATTTTTCGGACATTCCATGTGCCCCTGTTTAATTTTGCTTTCATCGAGAGAAGAGAAGACACATCTACCGACTGGCCTCCCGAAGGCTTTCACCAACCTGTATCATTTCGCTTCTTCGATTCCAGTGAAGAACAGGTTTAATTTTATGTGTTATATTTTGTTTGTGCTTTGAAGTTTTTTTAGTGGTTAGATTGGTTTTATGGTGTTGAGTTGGTAGCCCTATGCCCAACCTTCCCTCTTTATTTGGGCTTGGGATCGGCCAGAAATTAGTGAACTAGTTGATTAGGCGTAGTTCATCTAGTAGCTAATGCTGACCAAATTCTTTAAATCAGATTTGTGACATAGTTACTAAGTTAAGTATTTGTTTATTCCTTGCTACTTCCTGAATATTCGCAGGTGAATAACAGCTATTCACAAACAAAACTACTCGAGCAGTAAACTCCCACCAAGGTCAACTTGTATTATTGCTTTATTAGAAAGCTTAAACTTCCTATCATTCAGTAAATCACGGCTTTTCATTTTCCAGTGAAACTAAGTGTAAGGTCATAGAACTTGTATTTAATCAGTTAGTTTTGTTCTGAAGATTATAAACCTATCACCACATAACACTTCACAGTTCATTACTAACCACTTAGAATTCGCTCTGAAGCAGCATAAACAATAATGTGCGACATGCTATTTTTTCAGCTGACAAATAACAATATTTTGTGATTCTTTCATATTCTTTATAATTTTTTTGTGTGAAGAACTTTCTGTTTTACTACGTGGATCGTTGGTCAAGTCGTTTCACATGGAACAACCAACCAATTCCACAAGAAAATGATTTCATTGTTATTAATCAAGGTCAAAATGTCATGTTGGATGTGGATACACCTGTTTTGTCCATGCTACTCATCAATGGAGGGACTTTATTTTTTGACCCAACAAAAGATGTACAACTTCACTCAAAGTATATTCTGATATTAAACAACGGCAAGTTTCTGGTAAGTTTACCTCCAAATAAACTGTGTAAATCCTATTGAATTCTGTTCGAAATGAACTCTGAATTATGAATCGATAAAAATAAATAAGGTGCACCATCCTGATTTCACGATGAGTAGAAGTCGTGTGCATACATTTTATATTTTCTGTTATAATATACGCAATGAGCCACTTTCTCAGCTAGTAATATGATTTGGTTAAACATAACTAAATGGCCTATACAAACAAACAGTTCGAAAATATTCATCCTTACATTCTTCATTTTTGGATCAAAACTACTCATTAGTGCAGAGTATCCATAAATGCCACCTTAGCGAAAACTGCAATAACTAATTACATTCCTATATTTATGAATAACAACTGGAAAATCAGCTTAAATATCTTAGATTTGTGTGATGAAAATGCTTTTCAAAGTGACTAAATATGCATTTCGCTTACCTCTACTATGGTCTAATCTATAAAATTAATTGTTTTACTATATACATTACACTGTACTGTACAAACTACAAAGTCTGAATTTGACGAGTGACTCCTCAAATTTACCGTGGTAACCAGTGGAATAACCATTTAAATCCCTCCATTTCTTCTAGAAAGATAGTCTGTCATAAAATAAAGAAGTTTAATTGGCTATTCCAGTAGTTGCCATAATGGCCGCTAGAGTCAAACTTATAGTATCTTTTGGGATGTTTTAGTACTAACGTGATCTTGAAGCAGTGTAAGTATTTAGTTTATGTGTGATTAGGGACAAGAATACCCTAATGACGTCCAGATAATATTAGACAAAATGGTTAGAGTTCAGTACTTGCTCACAACTTTGATAACTATAGTGACTCTCAGATTCATTCTAATAACAATTAAAATGCCCACCTAAGTTTGTTATTGGATGTAAGTAATACCTTTCCAGATGAAATAAAGAAACGTAACTAATTATTTCAGTTTCCGCTAAGCTGGCCCCTAAAATCACTCGATAACTATTGGTTCACTACCCGAAAGTGATGACTGTCTGTTTAAATAAGTAGTTGTTTGTTGACGGCTTCCCATCTATAATGCAATAACTATGATCAGAAAGCAGATAATCAGGATTTTATTACTGACGTGCATAATGGCTACAGTTTTGTCTGCTATGAAATAAAGGAAATGCGTCACAAAAAAAACAGAAATTGGCATAAACCTGGACCGTTAGGGGAACATAAAAATCAGACTCTGAGTTCTTAATAAACAGTATCTTGTTACAACTTAGATCTCTTGACAAGTAAAGTATATGAATCATCAGACTAGTCATGTGAAACCTATTGTGTCTAGTTATGCAAACATCAACGTTCCCATACAACAGCATTTATTATCTCTGCCCAAGTGTCATTTCATCAGCTGTGAAATTGAAGTGCATATCTCATTTGGCACATAGTCTGCAAGTTCATGACAACGTCTAAGCTGCTTTTGCACTAAAACGCATTTTCTCTTATCCAGCGTGCATTATTTTTGGAATAGTTCAAACCATAGTTCAAAATACAATTAAGAATAAGTGCGTTGGCATATTTTTTTCTTTCCCTATCACATAAACTTAACTAAAGATGACCCATTTGTATTTATAGCGGTGTAATCATAGTGACACCTAGATTATTGACTTTGAAGAGAAACTTATGAACTGTCTAGTAAATACTAGCTTAATTTGTTCAGTAACGTTTTCTGGGGTACAAGATGCAAATAAGGCTTCAGCTAACTTCGTCAACAAGGATTGCTACGCCTTGACTAAAATTATGCTTGTAAGGTTACTTAACTTAGAAACACTACAAGAGTTTTAGTGTTTTCCCAGGTACAGTCATCATTTTATAACGGAAAAAAGTATCACTAGTCTTGCTAACTGCTTAGAATGCAAATGTCTGCTCGATAGTGAATGACAAAAATATTTATCATAAAAGATTAAACTGTATGGCATATGTTACGGTTTTCTTGAACTGTTCTGAGTTCTTTTGATAACCATGTTCACTAGATGGCATAATCTGCCCAATTAAGGTTCCCTTATGATTTTTTTGCGAATTTAAGTACATTAGCCAACTATGGATGCTGAACAGTTTACTTCATATAAAAATAGCAGTTTAAGCTGAAAGAAAATCTGTTTCAATACAGGGTTGAAACCAAAATGATTATATGTTAAGTAGTGTTTATATATCAATGTGTTTTAGTGCTCTGATTATTCAAAATGATTTTCTCATATACATATACTTGTTTCATCCATCGCTGTTTGATTTTAGTAGATGTAGAATCCTTCATGTCATCAAAATAGTTATTGAACTTATCGGGTGCAGTAAGAATGACACCACACTTATTTCAGAGATGTGTAAGATGCTACTGTACTGGTTAAATGTATATTATCTACCTCAGCCCACCATTTAAACATTGATAAATTACTGAATATGTTTGAAGTTTATCTACCTGAAAATACAAACATGGTTGTTGTTGGTGTTATTATTAGATTGGATCTCCTGAAGAGCCCTACACCAAAAAAGCTATCATTACACTTCATGGACATGTCAGAGAGAAAGAATTACCTCTGTATGGTGCTAAAGTTTTGGCTTTACGTAATGGCACACTAAGTTTACATGGTTAGTTTATGATTCCTTTATGTTTACTGTTTATCTGGATAAATAAATTCACTGTAATTGACTCTTGCTTAGTGAGACACACAAAAATGGATTCTTTGTCTTACAGCTAAGTGACTTGTTTTAAGTCAAATTATTCGTATGCAGAGTTGGCCTAATCATTTCAGTCACTGAAAATGAAGCAGCTCTGCCTTGAAATTGCGCAACTCTCTCCACTAAATGTGTTTGTAGCCACATTTCTTGTGTGGAGATATCAGCCAGTTTACGAAGTGGAAATAGGTATAGGGAACCTGCACACAAAACCCATTACTTGAAAATCGATTGCTGTTGTTGATGAACCACAGACACAATTGGAACAATCTACCACTCATAAACGAATTCCTTGGATACAGTCTTGCTGAAGTTGAAAATAGCTAACCATTGTCTGTGAAGTCAGAATAGGTAACTGTTAAGGTCTTTGCACACCAAGTTATTTTGCATGACGGTTATATGAATACATTCAATTCAGGAGCTGTGTAGTTTTTGATTGCAATCCAAAACTAATGTTTTCTTATTTCATCACTTTTTGACAATATTCAAGTAATAAAGAGCTTAATATCATGTGCATGTCATTCTGTGCAAAGAAAGTGCAACTCAAAATTTGTAGTTGAGTTTCATCACTTGGTTGTGTAAATATCTAGAAGTCACTGGTTCGCTTTCTGTCGCAACACAGGATTTCCTTTCAACCTGTCACCATTCTTGTAAACTGAAAGAAGTTCTTCAAAGGTAGAATCAGCGAAATAATTTTTTGATGTAATTATGAAGTGACGCTGAGTTATGATAATTGCTTAAACCGTGAACAAATCAGTCCCAAATACTAGTCGATAAAACGGGTGCATGTATTAATAAGAACGATACAAACCAGAATTAATTCGTAAGACGCAATTGAAGAGGAGAGTATTAGTTCGGTTCACTCATCTTATTGCGAAGAATTCATACTTCAAAGTAAGCAAGGTTCTAACTAGTGAATTAGAAGACGCGTCACAGATACTGGACATCAAGTGATATTTCCAGTATTCTTACCCTGACTACTACACTTCATGGAAGCGATTACTATAAGAAGCCTTCAACCAGACCTTTGCATACAGAAAGAGAGTGTGATTAGTATCCCACTTCCAAGAGGATTGTAATTTGATATTACTTCATTTTAATTACGCAATTCCAAATCTTCTTCACTTACCGATTTTAACTCACTGAATTGATCTCAATCTTATGAAATTCATTTATTTGCGAGTTACACAACCTGATAAACAGTATTAGTGGCTAATCTCCCATCATTCGTCAGTCTTTTGTACAATTCTTGAATCTTCTATCTCAAAATACATAAGTTAGTAATACTTTTAATGTACAATTTATGATTTTTGCTTTCTCACTATTACCGTTTCTCTAATTTCACCTTGACTTACATGATATCTTCAATATTCTGTAATTACTGTATGTTATCGTACAATTTTGTTGAATTAGTTGCTGCAACCTTAAGCTGCTTGCAACTCATGATTATGCATGAGGTGGGATGAAAAACTTATCTTTCTTTTTCAGGCCAACCTAGAGTTGTTACATGGACTAGATTAGCAGTTACTGCGGAAGCAGGATCAAAGACACTGGTATTAGAACATCCAGTTGACTGGCAACCTGGTGAACATATAATCATCACATCTACAGGTGGAAAATCGGCCCACAATGAATCAGAAGAGCATATAATTGATGGTAATTTTGGGTTTACCCTGTTTTTCACTAGAATGAGACTTTTTTATTAGGCTGGTTTAACTAAATCTATTGGAAATCTTTTACACTAAGTAATTGCTTGTAAGAGCAGTGATAACTCATACTCGAAACGGTGCTCAGAAATCAGGCTAGTCGGAAACAAGAATACTTGGTTAATTATTAATTCTCAGTTCACTATAGCTAGTTTGAAGACGTTGCAACTCGAAAAAATTGAATGTTCACAAAACATGGGTTGGCTTACTGAAACGATGCAACAATAAGACCAAGATTACTGATGAAATTCTGAACTTGCGATAAAGTGAAATGATAACAGTAAACAGGAAAAATGCCTGGTTAATAAGTATCGATAACAAGAGATAGAAGGCTTACCTACTTTCAAGATGGCAAATGTAAACAAAGCTTCATGATAAGTCTTGTCCATTACTGATTGCAGTTGTTTGTAGTATTCTTCCTTCTTACCTCGATCTGCATTATTTATAGGTGCATAGTGTGGCATTGTATGATTGTGACTTTCCTTCCTCTCCAGTTGAATCCATCCTACTGTCATGATGCTGATCCTGTAGGAGGAGATTGGTTCACATTGCATGGGAGGAAGAGATAGAGAGAGAGAGAGAGAGAGAGAGAGTATCTTCTATGCTGTTTGGAGGGGGACATCGTGATAGTCACTCGGAAACTCAGTGTGTTGGTGGTTGTCGTTTGGGCGACAATATTGGAGTAGATTATTTACTGTCCAGTTGACAGTTTGTAGAGTCCATTTCCATTCCATCTACTCTCTCAGATTGCTAGCACTTGTGTACCATACCTCCTCATCTCTTTTGGAATCTGTCCAGCCTTGCTAGGTTCAAACATTTTTCGGACATTCCATGTGCCCCTGTTTAATTTTGCTTTCATCGAGAGAAGAGAAGACACATCTACCGACTGGCCTCCCGAAGGCTTTCACCAACCTGTATCATTTCGCTCTTCGATTCCAGTGAAGAACAGGTTTAATTTTATGTGTTATATTTTGTTTGTGCTTTGAAGTTTTTTTTAGTGGTTAGATTGGTTTTATGGTGTTGAGTTGGTAGCCCTATGCCCAACCTTCCCTCTTTATTTGGGCTTGGGATCGGCCAGAAATTAGTGAACTTATTACTTAGTCGAGGTTATGCACTTTGGTAGCTAGACATAAATGATATACGCAGTTGGAGGTTACATACGAAGGGTACTGTTCGATCATCGATTGGACTGAAGAGAAAATTTTTTTGGTACACGGGAATGAACCTGGCTACCTGGAACTTCCTAGTAAATGATGACTGCTTTCGTCTACTAATGGTTCCTAAAATATCATCACTTTTGAAATTGAGGCGAATAGATGCAAGCTTTTTGTTAACTTCAATTTTTTTTCAACATTGTGTCTTCTGTTTTTCCACATTTGTTGGTAAATACTTGTGGAAATCCATTATCCCGTAAGCATCCTTCAAGTATTCGCAACTCATCCTCCACTTTATCGCTAGAACATATCATTTTAACTCTGCGAAATTAAGTTTAACTAATCCCTGTTTCCGAGTAATGGAACAAAATCCATTAAAGTTCATGTTGCTACCTACCGTTTCAAATGCTCTTTCGTTTAAGGAAACCTTTAGAGCGTCCTTTCTGGCCCACGTTCTAGGGTAAATTCAATACTGTTATGAGCATTATAAAAATTTTCTGATAAATACGATTCATGGAGTAAATCATTACAAACAATAAATTTGTCGTCGACGGACTTGACTTAAAACGTCGCCTTACCGAATGCATCCTAAAGTTTTGTATTCTCTAGATTGGTTTCATTCTTCATGCTGGTAAGAATGGAAGTTAGCTTATTTTACCTATGTTTTGGTAACGTTTGTTAGAAGCTTGCATTGGAATCCAGATGACGCATTTCGTTCTGTTTAGTACCTACCAAATGGACGTACCTAATTCTAAATCAGTGATATTGTTCTTAATGAGACTTGAAACCAAGACCTTTTGTTTCAAACACCAGAGCGTTGTCCACATGGCTACTCAGTCCCATCAAACAGAACGGTAATGAGCGTTCTGGATTCCACTGCCAGCAACCATCCGCCATCATATCAAACCAAATTACTTGCAGTTTTAAGTCAGCTGAGTAGGAGCCCATATGCTAATAGCGGCCGACCGATTCAGTCGAATCAACGACAAGAAACCTTAAGCTGTAACATCAAACGTTCCATTTACATTTATGCGTAGACCATCGATTTGCGAAAGGCATCCAAAGGGATGAGGTTACAAGCTTTTGATGTTATTCATGACAGCACCACAAAATATCGTAATGAAATGTCCACGATGAAATAGTAAAGCCAAGAAAACATTGCTTTTTATCATTCTTATCCAAAGCTACAAATCTCATTATTTGTCCACGAATACACCTGATTATTGCATTGCAGAACTTTTGTTTCCTAATTATTTTTATGTAATCTGCATAATCAACTTCCATATAAGTGCTTTCTCTGTTGCAGTTGCACTTTTATATACCACTTCATGAAACAGGTTGACAACAGTTGAACAAACTACCTCACTAAATTTCTTATTATTGTCAAGTTTTTTATTCAAACATATTGGTCTGACATCTAATTGTATGAAAACTGCAGTAAGTGGTCAAATAATCGTTTCCTTGCAACACTTATGCCTATGGTCGCGAACGGTGTATTTCCACAAATCTCAACTGAACGAATGTTAGGACGTGCAGTTTCTGGTCAGGTGACTGCGTTATCTGAGGTAATAAAATGAATGTCTTCCATATGAAAAACATGCAAGTGAGAAAATGCAATTATGATATACTCATCAAACTGCAAATAATCAATCAACGACAAAACGAAAGCCAAAACCTGGCTGGCTTAATCTAATCAGTAAGAATACGCATTCTATCACTTTTATCATGGGTCGAGAAACACTCGGTGAAAGGAATGAGAATGGAAAACTTCTTGGAGGCAGTGTGTTCAAGCACAAGGATATCCACAAGGCAGCGACATGAATTTTATTTCACCCGATGGACACGCTACAAAATCGAATCGACTTCACCTCAATCTGAAGATAGTGCAGAAGCAGCCAGCCTTCTGGACACAAGATCAAGAAGAGGAACACATGTAGGTTCACACCACCAACTAGTGCAAGGAACCAACACTCAAAATCAAGTTGTAAGCCCTCAAACAAGATGATGATGATAGACCACAGTTGAAGTCCAACACCCAGAACACAAACTGAACTGAACTGAACTAAACTGAACTGAACTGAAGAACGAAACCACAAAGGAAATCCTCAAGTCAGTCAACCATCAAGACAAAACGGCAGACATTGAGCAACATTCCTGAATAAACATGCATGGGAGAACACTGGAACTGTGTGAAAGCGACGTGGAAGGAAACCTGCATAACCGTGTTAGGAAGGAAGAGGTAGAGGCGAGACGAGTTATGGATGTGGAGGGACACATGGAAGCTGGAAGAGCAAGGAGAGGAAGATGGTGATGTTGAAGCAGAAGATGAACCGGTGCAGTGCAATGCATTGCACTGCATTGCATTGTAGTGTAGTGTAGTGTAGTGAAGAGTAGTGTAGTGCAGGGATGAAGAAGGAAAAGAGGAAGTGAACACAACCTATAAAACACTACACTGTATAGAGAATTGAAGAAGAGTGTGCTCAAAGATAAAAGACACTTCTACGACACACTTGCAATTCAAGTAGAATAGGCTGCAGGTAGGAGAGATAGAGAGAGACCTGACAAGATTATATCAAACAACCAGGTTACCATGTGGAATGGGAGAGATTAACTCAGATGAAGCCAACGAGAGATGGTGAAGGAGAGCTAGTTACCGAGGAGGAGAAACAAGGGAAACGATGAGCTGACCACTTCAGAAAACTCCTGAATCGACCACCACCATCACCACCACCACAACCACCAGCTGCAACTCGTCCACAACAAATACCACCACCAGCAGCCCAGCTCAGCTCAGCCCAACCCAGCCATTGAATTACCAGTGAACACAAGCCCTCCGACAAAACCAGAAGTGAAGTCCTCAACGCCATAAAGTCGCTGAAATCCGGGAAGGCAGTAGGACCAGATGGAATTCCTCCAGAAGAACTGAAAACATACACAGAGGCAACAGTGGACATGCTCACACCACTACTGCAGAAGTTTTGGGAGGAAGGAAGGAAGGAAGGAGGGGAGGAATGGAGGTAGGAAAGTCACCTTTCGACTGGGAGATGTGCTACCTTGTCAAACTCCCAAAGAAGATAGACCTTAGTCTCTGCAACAACTGGCACGCAATCATACTCCAACCATGTCCACTCAAAGCAAAACACTAAGCCACATCATCCTGGAGAGATTGAAAGGTATTCTGGATTCAAAATTACCACCGGAACAGGCTGGCAGGCAGGCAGGTAGGCAGACAGACAGGTAGGCTGGCTGGCTAGCTGGCTGTTTGGCTGGCTGACTGATTTCAGTGAGAAGAAATCATGTGCGGATCAAAATGCAACGCCACACTACACATCATCATAGAACAGAGTATACAATGGAAGTCAACTCTCTACCTCACCTCAACTTCATCGATTTTGAAAAGACCTTGCTTCGACAGCGTCGACCGAGAAGTGATTTGTCAGGCTGCTGCTTCAACACTACGATTCTGGTGCCACAAATCTTTATGAATCTCATTGAACACCAGCTATATGCTTGCTATATGATGCCACACGCCAGTCGAGTGATTCACAATGGAATGGTCGGGGACGCCTTTGAAGTGAAGACAGGAGTGAGATGTGGCTGCCGCCTACCATCACCAATGATCTTCCTGATTGTAGTCGACCGGACCGGACCGGACCGGACCGGACTGGACTAGACTGGACTGGACTGGATTGGATTGGATTGGATTGGATTGGAGTGGATTGAATTGGATCATTCAGCAAACCGTGAGGAGTTGTGAGAAGATGGACATACGCCGTGTGAACCGATGGAAAGACCTCAGAAGAAGATTTGGATTTCACCGCCACCACCGCCAATCATGATAATTTATGTCTGATATCTAATGTCATGCAAAGTCGTAGATCTACAGGCAGAAAGCAACCAGTTGACAGAAGAGGCAGGGGAGGGAGGATGGGACTTCAAGTGAATGTGGGGAAGACAGAGGTGATGAAGATACCCAACCAACAATAACAGCACCAAGAATAAAAACAGCAACAAGCATCAATCATCATGAATGGGAGAAGTGTAAACGAAGTGGTCTCTTTCACCTGCCTACCTGCTCAGGCAGCATCATTTCAACTACAGGCGGCACAGATGAGGATGTCGAAGCCAGCCAGGATGGGGAGGACAGCAAGACAGGTCTTCACCAACCTGAAACCAGTGTGGAGATCTACTGCACTGCAATCCACTCCACTCCACTACACTACACTACACTACACTACACTACACCACACTACACTACACTGCACCACACTACACTACACTACACTACACTACACCACACTACACTACACTACACTACACTACATTGCACTGCACTCAGCATAAATAACATGAACAGGATTTTCAACACCAACTTCAGTCAAGTCAGTGCTTCTATGTGGTGGTTGCGAGTCTTGGCGCGTCACGAAATGCATTTCCAACAAACTGCAGACATAAATTATGAACAGCTGCCACCTACGCTCACTCGATAGTGAAGATGGAGATCAGATGGCCAGAGTAATAAGAATAAACAGCAAGAAACACTTGCTGGCTGGCTGGCTGGTTGGCTGGCTGGCCGGCCACACACCAACCAACCAAGAACCCATCACCCAATAAATAAGCAGTGGAAGTAGGTGTAGATGGATTGGATTGGCATACACTGAGAAGACCGATTGGGGACATCACGCACCAGACTGGATCCTTGAATGGAACGGAAAGGGGAAACGACGAGTTGGGTATCCGTGGTGAGGGTGATATGGAGGAGATCACATGGGGAAGAAATGGAAGCTTCTTTGGATAGTTTTGGAGTCAGGTTTTGAAGACTTCAGAGGAGAGAGTGAGATGGAGACGTGCTACTGAAACCGTATGTTGCACTAGGAACCCATTGGACAAATGATAATGAAATAATCACTTCCACCTGGTGATGCTATTTCGAAAACCTTGAACGTTTTTTGTTTTCAAAAGTAAACCATAAAGTGCTTTTAATGTTATGTTAATTTTTAGGAAATAGTGAAATCGTGAAGCAATGATCATTTTTATCAGGTTTTGAGAATCTGCCGTTCTGTAGAAACTGTTATCCGTGTTCTACGCCTTTTCAGTAGATATTTTGTCAGCACCCTGGTTTCTGAACTACCCTTTACTTGTTGATATCCTGAAAACGTTAATTGGAGAACAAGTTGCCTGAAGTTGGGTGCTTTTTAAAGGAACTCCTGGAAAAATTCCTTTAAATTGCCTGTGACTTAAAAAGGATATTCTATAGTGATTACCACTAAGTAAGAATATCATTTCCAAAGGATCGGGCTGATGGTCGGACACTATTAAAATTAGTGCAGTCAACCACCAATTGATCATTCAACTAAATAATCAGACCATTTAAAAGTCTTCGTGGAACTTTTCGTCTAAAAAAACATTGAAAGTGATTAAACTCTCCAATCTATAGTCGTCACATAGCCCTCATATTCACAGAAGAAAGTTTTACATAATAACTCATATAATCCTGATAAACTGTGAATTTTACTACATTTTTGATAAAAATCTATTTTTTTAACTTGTTAATTCCAAACGTTATCTGCATTATTACAGACATTTCAAGTGACAATCGTACAATTAGATTGGCTTCACCGTTGGCTTTCAGAAAGTTGTCTGTGAAAATAAATTATTCAAATGGTATCATTGGGAATTTTGCTGCTGAAGTAGGCCTGTTAACCAGGAATATCGTAATACGTGGAACAGAAGAACCTATAGTTTCAGCAGATGTGCCTCAATGTTCAAATGATTTTAGTACAGGTAATCAATTCTAATTAGTGAATTTCTTAACAAGTATCATTATAATCTGGTTTTGTCTTGCTGTATATCACTCCATTGGTTTATTATTATTCTCACATTGTAATATAATAATGACTATTACGAAAACCACTCTCAAAGTCCTCTTTGAAATATCAAAGTTAACAGTTTGCTCATTGGTTGTGTGGTCTGAAATCTCTATTCCACTGTATTCAAAAAACACTCAGCTGTTGCAATGCAATGCACAACCTCACCATAGTGTGGGATAAAACCAATGTACTGTCCAATATAATTATTCATCGAATCAACACCCAACACATGTAATAGAAATGACGCAGAATGTATACTAGAAATATGAAAAATTTTGCTACTACTAAAAAAAAGATTATGGGGTAACAGGTGCATAAAAACCATATGTTGAAAGTTGTCACTACAATGATTATGAGCAATAATTTATGCTCTAAATTTCATTGAGTAAATAATGCTGTATCACTCTGTCATACCAAATAAACAAGTCCAAAACGAAAACGTCAGTGACCATTAGTCAGACATACCATGCACTGATGTCGCGTGTTGATCTGTTCACTCTGAGTCTTCTTCCAACCTCACCTGACTTTCTCAAACATGGTACCCTTCGGTAGGTGGTGGCTCGGCATGCTCAGCTGATAAAGGTTTACAAACAAACCAATCGACTTGCCTATCTTGCCTAGTGCCTTTCGCCTGACCCCAACATTCCTCACACGGTCATCCCATCACATGCAAACAAAGGTACGAATAAACCTTTGATCAAAAACCTTTAATCTCTTCATATCTTCTATCCTCAACTACCATGTGTCACAGCCGTTTAAAAGGACAGAACAGACTGTAGCTCAGTATATTCGTCCTTTGATGTGGGCCAGTTGAACTGTACTTCAAAAAATTCTCCCTAACAATCTGGCCCCTAGTCCTGGGAGGTTATATCAGCATTCCATCCTTTTAGGTTATGCTTTCACTCACCATCGTTTTCTTATTGCCAGTATCCTTAGTAAGCCTAAATATTTGCCGAGTGTTACCCAATGCTACTGAATTCTCCATCTCTTTCGCTCTCGCCACACAATACTGCTTTTAATAATTTAGGAGACTCTTAACCAATTTATTTTTAAGGTGTTTTGGCTCTTCACTGTATTCAGAGAGAGGCGGAATTGGTTTTCTTGTATCAACCAATTCGGATGACATCGTGCGAATCCAATGACGTTTGTTAATCTTCTGGTGAAGGTCATCGACCGTTGTCTCTATACCAACCTAATATCACTCCAGCTTTACTGAGGATGAGCATTACTGCCACTTTCAGACAAATGCTTTGCTAACTCTTCCCTAAATACGTACTTGGCGTCCTCTTCTTCCAGTCGGCCATCGACAAGTTTTACTATCCCCTGTTTCCTGTGACCAATAAGAGTGCCAGTCCTAGACCTATCCTCTCCAGAGATGACCTACAGTAATATGATCTATCTGTCTCCATCCTAAGTTGAATGTTTACTCACCCATGTGAGACAATGCCTCTTCTTATACTTAAAGTTAGTGCTGACCAGAAACAGGTGATTGTTGGAATAAAAATATAACAGACGATCACCTTTGTCAGTTCATTGGCATGGGATTCCTTCCCAAGAACCCCTAAGATGTCTTTCCGACTAGCCCAGCTCAGTTTCCCTTCTGGAGCGTTAAAGTCACCTGTCATTACGACTCTGTTTGCGCGTTTTGCTTTCCGTAGTATAATTGACAGCTTATGATAGAATTCATCCTCTGTATCATCCGAACTGCAGTCGGTGGGTGTGTAGGCCGAGATTACGAATAAGCATCGCCTAGTATCAAGATCCTTCTTGATCCTTACAGACTCATTCAGTCGAATAGCGCACAGACTGCTCTTGAGTGGTATCTAGTCGAGAAGTGCTGTGCTGTGCCTACACCAGTGTGTGCAGGAGAGCTGGCCATTGGGTCGCGGGATATTCGTAAGGTAAAGTTTCAAGATTTACCATAATGGTCAGGTGAGGTCAATTTTATAGCCAGACTCTGGTGCTGTATACGTGACTCAGAACACAGCATAAATACACGGCTCGAGAATCCACAGTTTTGGAGAGCAATCTATGCTGTTCGATTCCGCATACAGTTTGGAAGTTGAAAGCTTTTATGCGAAATTGCTGGAGAGGTCCCGAAAGATTAAAAATGAGGTTCCGATGGCTTTGGTCGTTAGCAATGGTTGCATAGCGAGAGGATGAAAAAGTTATAAGAAGCCCAATATTGGTGTCAGGAGGTGAAGGCAAGGGGGGAGACAGAGTTGAGGAAGATAAGCTATTTTTGATTGGGTCTTGTGTACTACTGGAAGTGAGTGAGCGGTTAACACTTCCTGATTCCCTGCACCGCGGAAGACTTATTCTTCTCAATATAACTGGAAGCGAAAAAGATTTGTGTGACTGCAGAACCCATGCGACATCTTATTGAGGCCTGTCACACACACACACACACACAGCCTGTTGAGGATTTTCTTTATGAGGTTTGGTTGGTCTAACTCCGGACAGAGGAAGTCCATAACACTGGCGTCGGATGACCGTGGGGCAAGGAAGAGTTCAACATTTTTGAAGCCGACCTTTCTTAACTCCTCTTTTCCAGCATGGAAGGCAGTGCCAGGTGGGACTTTGCTCATCCAAGGGAAACACCTTACTGCTGTCACACCCCATCCAGTTAACAGCAGTACGACTTCACCTTCAGACACCGATCATAGCGTAGTAATTTACACTACTACGATAACTGTTTTTCGTCTAACCGCTATCCACCAGAACTTTTTGACCCTTTAGGACGTCGAAGGAACAAGCGTTCCACCCGTTGTTGCTATCATCTTCATCCTGAGCTACAAATTTTTTCCATATCACAGTAGTATTAAATGCAGAGTCATTATCTTGGTTGTATTGTATTCTCTGAGCTGGGTTGTTTAATCCTGAAGCTTTCATCGTCTTGCTAGACGACATCATCAGCACTAACTTCAGTATGAAGTGAGCTGTCAATATCTCTCCCTGAGTGATTTAGTGGCTTGCTCTGACAATGTGGTCTGTGATTGGTCGTTTCTTTCGATTGTTGTGTCATTGATTGTATAGACTTTCCTGTTGGCTGCTCCTCTGCTTCACCTCTGACCTTTCTGTCATTTATCATTTTTTCTTATTGGTTAATAGATCGGTTCTATGTCTATACATCTGTGGATTGCTGACTGACCAGAATGCCAAGCTTCTAGGAATTCTCTGACATTCTTTGTGTTTCCTCTGTCCAAAATTTCTACATTGTCGAAATTGAATTCATGTCACAATTATCCACGTACATTGAAATGAGTGACGAAATTTCGTGGCGTTTAATATCCAATTGGTGCTCATGTAGACGAAGGCGAAGAGGGCGGTCACTTTGTCCAATATAGTGTTGACTACAGTCATTGCAGTTGATTTTGTAAATGATATTCGGTTTGTCTTCTTTGCTTGTTGCATCCTTTGGTCTGCATAATAGTGTTTGGAGGGAATTTGTTGGTTTATGAGCCCCAGCAATTCCAAGTGGTCTCAGCAATCTTGTTGTGATTTCTGATACATTCTTTATATATGGTAGGACGATGCGTTTGTTGATTTCTGTCGATGACTTCGTAGTTGATGATGCACGGGATAGGCATCTTCTGATAAAGTTTCGTGGATAGCCGTTCTTCTTTAGGGTGGACATTACTTGATGTCCAAGATGATGAAAGCTTCACGATTAAACAACCCAGCTCAGAGAACACAATACAACCAAGACTATCCACCTGAGCTACAAATATTCTCCATTATTTCAAAATCATACGAGCGTAGGGTCATTACTTTGGATACCGATTAAACTGAATCACTATTGGATTTGATATGGGTTGGGTCACGCGTTGACATAAAATAAACGAAAACCGGAAACCTAAAGGGGCTGTAGTACACGTGGTTGCTTGCATGTTGGGAGCATCGGGAAGTTCATAGGTCATTAAAGCAGTTCATTACTATTTACAAGCTTATGGAAATCCCGAAATGACTCATTTGACAGTTTTTGTAATAATGTGAAAGTGTACGCCTAAGATTCCGATGGAGTAAAACATTGAATATATATACAATGCCATGTGATTAAACATATTCATAAATTTATAGAACACATAGTTAAGCAAAGGAAATCCTTTTCAGTGATTCATTCTGCCATAAGCACATAAATGCAGTGCTTTTTCATGTTGGAATTACTGAATGTGAGAAAGATTTTGTCTACAGTGAATCATAGCCGTAAAATTGATTGCGTGGCTTTTGTTAGTAGCATGCAACCGCTAAATATACAATAGTACTATTTATCATTTATACAAGGACAGTAGCTCTGCATAAGACCAATCAAAAAAAAAGTTCAAAACAAATTTCATCAGATATATGTTGATCAAGAATTTTAAGTGGAGTATGAAGATAGTAATAATAACAACAAAAGGAGTAGTGTGAATAAATTTGATGTAGTGGGGATAGTTGATGGATCATCAGATGACCCAGTTGAAGAACTTTTTTATGACCTTGGCAACCAAATGTATTTAACGAATTGTTTTTCTTTGCACATCTGTGACTTTAAATTATGAATGACCAAGGCTTCTGTTATTTATTACAAGAGTAGGGATGCATGTTTTTATAACATGTGATTTCATCTTAGGGATAATATTGAGTGAAGAATCCAAGGCTTAACAACTATAGTCTACCACAGATGCTACTGACTTATGTTGTGCCTTGGTAAGCCATACTTAGAGATATTCCCAAATGTGTCAAAATATTTGTATATTTCATTAAAAACGGCACGATTCGAAATGCATTCATATACCAACATATCACAAATTAAAGTAGAAATCGGGGAATCGCAGCACTATGAACGATGGAAAATGCTTAACCTACAGGTAACAGTTTCTAGGAATAAAGTCATATTAAATCACTGAACGCCAAGAAACTAGTAATTACTGAAAACAACAGAACGTCGGACAGTTGTTTCATCCTGATTTCTGACTCCTCATAGTTGGATACATGAGACTGAATCAAGGTGATGCGCGTCTGGAGGACAGTACGTTCTCATCTATCCAGTAACTTGAAGTTCAATAGTCAAAATATTCCTATGTCTGCCATTTCACAACATATGGCGAATATCCCTATCGCCTTTTTTTACTTCAAATTTATATTTCCAGTCTGTCTACCAACCTCATCCAGTTGTCTTTCACTAAAAGTTTCCTCCAAACTTTCAAACCTCTACTTGAATTTTCTAACTCTGTCACTATGTTGAGTTATCATATTTCTTTTTTTAACTGCAATAGTTTGTGGAATAGATAATTACTCATCTGATGAGCAATTAGTTTATCAAATACAGGTGTATCGGATAAATTTGAATGCAGTGCGTTGGTAGGCCGTTTTGTTAGATTATAATTTGACCTTAATTTCACTTTTAATTAAGGTATGACAGGAATTGTTGTTCTCCCTGCCTTGAAACATACTCAGATACAATGACTGACTGTCAAGGCTAAATCCATGTTAAAATAATGACAGAGCATGAGTAATTGTAAAACCTGATGAGAAATTAGGGAAAATAAGTTTCCAGTCCAACTGTTTTTCTTTATTTCAACCCTTTTGCTTAGCAAACAGTGTACTATTGACTAACATGAATAAGTAGAAATCACTCTCATCAATCAGTAGTGCTAACTAAGCAGTTGATGTAGACGTTGGAAAACAGCTTCCCCTGCTTTAGGTCCAATTTATCTGTTAAAATGATTCAGTTCAAGGAGCTCGGTTGTTACAATCGTTCAAAACTGGCCAACCAACTAAATGGACTGGTAATATTGAAGTGAAATCGCGCGTTCACATGATTGTCAATCTGTAGATAACCTTAATATGGAGGGTAGTTATGAAGTAGTATTGCCTATTTTACACGCTTGTGTTCTTTATTTAGATTTTCTGACTTACTGGTCATGCTTGCTATTTCACTACTTAATAAGATTGTTAATTCTACCTTAAAAAATATGTATTGCAACGTTTATATGGACCCATAAGAAGAGAAATAGTAATGTTAGTGTTAATTGCAAATTGGTCAAGACAGAATTCAAATCTTCTCCAGCGTACCCATATAAAAAGAGAAATTGAAAAGTCCGTTTGGTATTCTTTAAAATATTGGGATTAAGGTGGCATTTAGATACACAAACTCAGAGAGGAACTATCTAGACTATAAGGTTCAGTAGATCCAATTGAGCAAAATAATGTGATATATCAGAAAACCGTATAATAATTGGGAAGTCAAGTACACAGGTCTAAGTGGCTGTTTGGAGTCAGTTGGATAACGAAGCACAAACTTTCAGCAAAACACAGATTGATAGACCCTACAGTTTTTGGTAACTTAGAGAAAGACTCGGTTATCGCTATATTTCCAGTATCTTATAACCACATTATGAAGTTAGATACATGCGATAGGAATAATTCATTAAACAGTACGGATACTTGGAAAATTTGAAAGGATAGAGAACTGTTGGACTATGAAAATGAAGTTTGTTAGTTGTGTGATTACTTTGATATAGTTATGAGCAATAAATTCTGCTCGAACCACTATATAGTAAGTAATACTTTGTCACTCTATGTTACATCAGATTAAAAATCTAATATGGAATTATACTTAGCTATCTCCTGGTAATCACTCTAAGAGCCTTGCAAACGCCTTGCTTTGGCTCTAACAGTCACATTCCATAATGTCACGTCGCTTACCTTTAAAAATATGGTAGTGGATTACGGCACTCCAGTACCGAAACTCCACACTGTACTTTATTGTTTTGTGGAGAGTAATTGAGATTCAGTGTTCATTACTAATCAAAAGACTCATCATGAAGTTGTATTCACTTATCTTTTCTTAACAGATCAGTTATAATAATTGAATATACAAACAGACACTAATTCTTGTCTTATTCATGTGACCAGCTGTAGGTGTTTATCAACCGGCTACTACGTATGTAAGTTGTCACTAATGTCTCAAGCATGCCATAGTAGTAAGCTGGCCAGCAGGTATTTAACTATATAGTCTCCACGTCACGTGAGTGTTTCGTCGTATATTTCACAGAGACTGAGATACTTTATCCGTCATTTAAAAACAGTTTACTTTGTCATTTAAATTAGTTTTGCTTTATGATTGACTCTATATACCTGTGTCTTCAGGTAGAAATCGTCTTCGGTCATTACTAAGATGTATAGGTTTCATTTTAAATTTATACGTGTGCTTTCCCTCTATAGGTCAATTCGCAACTCACACATGCGTACTAGGAAATCCAAATGAACAGCTGGGTGCTACTGAATATGGTGGACATGTTCATATTGGTGGACCATATGTAAACAGCGGTGCTGTTAAAGCTTATCTATCTTACGCTGAATTTTATTATTTAGGCCAAGCCTATCGTTTGGGTCGGTATCCTATACATTTCCATCTGAATGGCATGATGAACGGGTAAGTTTATGATGCCATCTTCGTATTTAAGTACCAGTTCTGCAATTTTAATTTTAAATGACGAAAAATCCCTGTTTAATCACTGAAAAACAAATAAGAGGCTACAGTGAAGATTATTTTTCAATGACTCATTTTCACAGCTGTACATTCGTAAACATGTGAGCAAACTGAAAGAATGTCCCGAACAAGTTTCCGGTCAAACTTTAAACTATTCAACAAGTGTATAGAGGGAATGAGGTGATATTATATAACGCAAGACACGATCTCAATGGTCTCTATAAAATGCAGTGGACAGTAAGATTTGGTATCTGAGACAAATAAGCGAACATAATGAAATATATGAGTAAATAAAACAAAACAAAGATATAGAGCACCTGACTGAGGCCATGGCAAACTGTTTCTTTTGAAAACACAATTGAAATTTGAAGCTGAGAATTGTCTAAACTTTGGCTACGCATAATTCTGTCTTCTTTTGAACGGTTTAATCGGACTTTTTAGTGAACTCTGAATGAAGTTCCTACAGGATCCAGATGTCCAGAGTCTACGAGATATTCAACGATGGAACTGAAGATGGTTTTATGCTCACCCTTCAGCAACCAGGCTAAGTAATGTTCGCCAGCTTGAGTGCATAGTACGCCCAATGTACTCAGATCCAGGAGCAAGTGGATTTGTAAGTATACATTGATGAGGCTCAATGCTCCAACTTGTCTTTCACGCACTGATGAATCAGCAGTTGACATGAGAACACAATACGGAGGTTTGCGGTGTAAAATGTTTTACTCAGTGACTTTGAGAGACGTTTTCGAAGGATGGCTATGGATTTATCACCTTCGAATCTTAGGTTCATCAAAAGTTTTTCCTTCGAAGCTGATTAAATCTGTTCCATAGTCTTCTTTTTGTTCATATTTTCCTTCAGTCATTTTGTTGCCTTTACGAAGTGATTTTAGACAAAATGTTAATAGAAGCAAATTACATGTCTACAATTACACTAGTTTTTGGGTGTTTGTGGAGATTTAGTGATTTTTCAAGTCGGTATTCATCATGGACTGACATCAATTGAAGGAACATTAGAAACCTGTGAGCATTGGATAGCTGTTCCGCCCTAGTATAGGACTTCTCAGCAGTGCGTACCCATGACCTCGCAAGGGATCGAATCCAGGACCTCCAGGTTCCGTGGCCAGCACGTTACCACTGAGCTAGCTACTGGGTAGGAATCCAGTAGTCTATATTTTCATCTTCTGTCATCTCATGAAGTTCCAATGAGAATTAGTGACTAGCGGGACAAACTTGGTGGCTGTTAGGACAAATAACCGGAGATGACACTGGGTGATGGTAACGCGGTGGCCATGGAATCTGCAGGTCCTGGGTTCGATCCCTGGTTAGGTCATGGCGCTTACTACGGAGCAGCCCCATACTAGGATGAAATAGCTATCAACTTCCCCCAGGTTCCAATGTTCCTCCAACTAATGTCGGTCCATGATGAATACCAACTTGAAAAATTACATTTCTGTGTAGTTAAATTTTGAGGGAGTTGTGGAGATTTGGAATTATTTCAAGTTGTTATTCATCGTAGACTGACATCTGTGTAGTAATATGTTTGAAATGGGGAAAATCCGTTTTAAAATGTCACAACAAACAATACACTTATATCATGTGCAAGTGTACCTCGGCTAAGACATTCAAAACACCAATTATAACTTTATTTTACAGTAAGAATGAATAAATATATGAGTTGAATGAAATTCTGTCCATGTCATCTTCCCCTTTGACTATGCCCAAATTATTCAGAAGGGTTTGAGAAGTCGTAAAGAATATTTCCCAGTAAAATATTTTCATATGAGTTGAAATAAAAGTTGTCTGAATAGGAATGAGGGAAGGTGGAACATTTTTCTGAAAATTAGAAAATAAATCGATTATTTCACTAGTTTATAGAGTGACTTTTAAAGCCATACGACTCAGAAGTTTAGTACAACAGTGTTGCTATTTATTCTACATGTAGTAATGCGGATTAGCATCGTAACTAAAATGATCAAAAAAATAGGTTTCAAATATAAAGTCATTAAAAAGTTATTTCACCTCGTTTACAACAACAACAAACTTCGGAAGACAAAAAGTTAATAAGCGACCTGAGAAAAATACAACTAAAAAGTGAGCTTGCTTCATCAACAAACGAATTACACATATGTAAATCTGCCCTGGTAGCTGATAAACAATATTCATGTGATTAAATGAGATGGATAATGTGATCTCCTAATGACCACACTGAATGATGAAGACTATGCCATTTCAGTCGAGATAGTTGACAGCGTGACAGAAAGTTAGTAAAGAGATAGGTTATATGACTCAATTTTCTATTCGAAAATTGAGAAAATATATTGAGCAACTGGTTAAATATTTTATATATGAAAATGGAATTAAGTACCGATGGATTTAGTTTATAATTCTTTACGTGTAAATAAGCCTAGTTTCTAAATTATTAGATAGTTGCATGTTAATAGTTTATGAACTAATATCGGCGCCTAGTATTTGCTAGAACTTACAACTCAGGGACATGCAGTTCCACCAAACACGCCACCTGGAAATAATAAATACCTATATTGTTGGTAACTTATTCACAGTAGTTTAAGCGCTGCATCATTTAAAAGAAAGTCATGCAGGATTATAATATGAATCAGGATAGCGTAGAACGGGGGATAACAGACAAGAAAATCAACATCATTTATTTATTTCTGTGGAGTTAATTGGTATCATTATACATCTTACTTTTTACTCTGAAAACTGTTATTCTGTATTCCGAATAATAGTTTTGCCATAAGACTTTTTCTTGTTCAGAATACATGATGCTATCAAAACCTGATACAAGTGAATGAGCACAAAGTCCAGCACGTGTTACATTTCTAGTGGCATAGCAGTTATAACAATTGTATTACTTTGAATTAAGTCTCGCTTACTCCCATACAAACATCGGCATTGTTGAACATGGTTTTGAAAAGTGGAGCTAAATGGCCAACAGAAATTCTGACTTGTATGCCACTAATCCTTATGAAATTGAACAGAACTTACTTTGAACTGAAATGTGCATCCACTAAATAACTAAAAATAGACCAAATTATCTAAATTAGTCTAGGTTCAAATATGTAGTTTTCTAATTAAAACTGGACCACGTCCGATCTGTTTATGCAAAAGTGAGTATTGATTGAAGTCCTCTGTACGACTCCTAATCTTATTACTTTTTCTTTCTGCCAATGATATCGTCATATAATCGATTTGTGTGGTCATTTAATACACTTCTGTCGGACGCTTAATCACTCTTCTTCTCAATATCATAATCATTACTTAACTATGAAAAGTGAAGTTAAGGAGAAATTTGGGGCTTATATTGTTACTATCAGCCGATTGCCTCCAGACAACTAAACAGATAGCCAGCACACTTCGTTACAGTTTTATTTTAACGGTTAGTAGCATGATGAATGTGAATGTTATACGCATGAATAAACATTTATGTTTCTTTTGCCCTTCATAACATCCTAATCAGCTTTTATAAATCAAAGTGCATAAATTCCATCTGTCTATCAAGTAAAAATATCTCTCTTACTACTGGAGTGATATAATAATAATAATATATATCCAGACACTACTGTTATGACCACTTCCAGTGTCTTTTTAGAATAAAGCCAGCGCTAAGCCAATCAGCCGTTTGTCTAACTTATAAACGTTAAAATGTGTCAACTTGAAAGTACCCTTTTCGAAAACAATTACTTGCTTACAAGAAAACAAAATAATGCATCTTATAACCTATTGCAATTCAATTTCGTTAACGATACATTGAAGAATTTTGAAATATAGTGCATTTAAACTAATATGCAATTGTGTTTATTCAATTATACAGGAATGAGCATCTATAAAGTATTTGGCAGTAACTATGTTTGTTTTAACAATTGAATGTCATCCTATTACTTATAAATTCTCTGCAGCCAAATATGCTTTGAAAGTTTTATGCCGAAATTACGACCAATACCAGTTACCTCAGTTCCTTGGACAGTACACGGATATTTTATTTCATCACTGGAAAGTGGTTTTAAATGTCTATCAACTAATGATAACGTAAATCAATCCTTACTGTCGAATAAGGCATTATTTATTGAATCCTATAAAAATATGTCACTTTTAACACCATTTTTGTTTTGTTCATCATTTATTTCAATAAATCATCAGTAACAGTAAATAATTTTTCCTTCTAGGTCTTATGTACGTGGTTGTTCAGTTCATAAAAGCTTTAATCGTGCCATCAACATTCATAATACCCATGAAGTACTTGTGGAAAATAATGTGGTTTACGATATAATGGGTGGAGCTTTCTTCTTGGAAGATGGTATTGAGTATGGAAACGTGATACAGTACAATTTGCTTGTTCATGTGAAGCGTACAAGTAGCCTTCTAAATGATGATGTTGTCCCAGCAGCATTTTGGATTACACAACCAAATAATACAGTACAGCACAATGTTGCTGCCAGTGGAACACATTTTGGATTTTGGTAATGATAAACCTGTTATTGTTATGATAAATTTATAACTGAGTACACGCCTGATTTAATTTAAAGAGCATATGATACTTTGATATTGAGTGGTTGGAGTTAATGAACCTCCGAAGTAATACTGAATGTCTTACGTCGCTGTTTCACTCCAGGCTGAGATTCGTCATCAGTGGATATACAGTTCTCCATAGAGGGATAAACTCAAGCAACATTCGGTGAAACTTTGAAAATAAGGGTTCTTAAATTCATAAACGACTGATAACTAAAAGAGGGAATTATGACACACTTGCTCTTCACTGAACTTTCTCCATCCTCTTGTTGAGATTTGACTATGCGATTCGAAATTCAGTTCTTCATTTGCTGTCAAAAATAAATTTAGTGCATTGAAAATTCTCATTTAGAAATAATAATATATATTATATATATATATATATATATATATATATATATATATAATATATATATATATATAATAATATATAGGTGTACAATTCAATCAGAATAACCATCAAGTAATGGAGGTTGATAAACGTGAATTATAGATTTTAAGTAGGTGATGAAGATGATAAGTTTGAGAAAACGAGATTCAAATAATCAACAGAGTAATTATACGGGATTAAAAGTAGTAATTATAATAATATGAAACAGGTTGTTCATAGGCAAATTGTACAGTAACTGGCAAACTAACTGGGGTGTTTTTTCTACAGTGGTCAGTCATTAGCCGTAAATAAGAATAAATAAATAAAAAAGGTATGCAAATAATGCTAAAATTTACATCATGTTGATGGCCACGGTAAAGAGAGTGGTTGAACAAATTTTGTTTTAATATATAAGTTAGTTTTGTAAAGGTGGGTTGCAGTCGTCTCTACTATGTGAAGTAAACGAATGCGTAGTCCATATGATAAATTAATTGGTATGCGATAAATAATTTTAAGTGCTTTTCCACTATTCTTTTGATGCTCAGGGTCAACTAAGTGTGCAAGTACACAGGTCGATGTTGTTCTAATCTGTCCCTTATACAACCATGATGTGTGGTGTTCAGAAATTCGACAATGGACCTGCCTCATTGTACATTCAATGTAACTAGCTCGACAGGAGCAGTTGCACTAATAAATGTACAAGGAGATGGGACAATCAGACGTTCTGTCTTTATTTCTTGCATCTAGAATAGCCCAGTTGTAGAAGATGGGACATAATTTAGCGGATGGGCACACTTTTATGCATTTTGTGGTGATCTTACTCTTGAATTCCAGCTTCAAGAAGATTTTTTTATTAGGAACTGTTGGGATTCTTGTCTTAACCTTCATGACATTCATATACTTAGCTACGAACTTCTCTGAATAGCTCTTCCTACTAAGCAGGTCAAGGATTGTGACGAATTCTTCCTCTACAATAAATGTACAGTTTTAGACGGTTCATAAATACCAGATTCATAGATGGCACATTTACTGTTTCTTCACAGAACTAACGAAGTATTTCTTACGTTAGCCTCATAGTGTTAGATAACAGAAGTTAGCCAGTAGACAGGTCATTGTTGCTGAGACTATCGAGTATTCTATGAATTTCACAGAAATACTATCCTCTGTACTTGGACATCAGTAAGCTGTATTCAATATATATAACTATTAAAATGGCAATCTAAAGCACCACTTTTACTTTTGTAGAAATTCCAGTGCTTTCAACAGTTTTGAAGGTGAAACTTCTTGTTAAGCCATCGATTTCAGTATTATTATTATCATTTATTTTTTGTGGCTTAGCCTTTAATTTGATGGAAAGTTTGTATCTTTAGGTATCGAATGCTAGAAAATCCAACTGGACCGTCAAGTACGACAAGTATTTGTCCTCGTCGAATCCCTTTAGGGAAATTCGAAAATAACACTGTTCATAGTCAAGGTTGGTTTGCACTGTGGATTCATGAGAGCTTCTTTCCAACAACCACAGGAGCGTAAGTTCAGGAGTTCGCTATAATTTGGCGAAAATGTTAAATACTAATTTCGTTACTTTACCAGTTTTAATTAGGTAAAGACAAATTGGTTTGTCTAATACGATGGACTGGTTATGTTTATTAAGCTTTGATTGACTACGTATAAACTAATAACGTTGAAAATTTGTAATAAAATGAATAATAGTATTTTTCAGAGAGTCGTTATGGTCATATTTCAAAGGTTTATGCAAGCAAATAATACTTTGGTGAAATAATCGATTTTCAAAGGGAATATACCACTAGCGAATGGAATACTAACACTGAGAACAACTAAGAATGCCACCGATTGCTGACAACGTAAATATCTTTAAAAGTATTAGAAAATCATCCTAGGAATCTTGATTTCACCAAGAAGTATATCCCGGACGTTTGATCATTTTTAGCCTGCTACCATGACGCTTAAATAACTCCGTAATAACCCACTTTGAAGACCCTTTCGTTACATAGTTGGTCAAGATATAGAGCCGGTAAGCAAACAGAAAGTTTCATTCGTACACAATATTTGATGAAAGTGCACTTCTTCATGCACATAGACTCACACGGATAGGAATAAGATAGTTTTCATAGTCCCACAGAATATTCAAAAGTCATTATCAATCAGCAGAGCTTAACATCATGTTTATTAATTCCTAATCTTGAATGAACAGAAAAAGAACAACAATTGGAGCGAAGTAACATAATACCGCTTTATTTCACCGGTTTGTTGTCAAGTGGTAACATTCGTAATGCATTATTATATCACATCGTTAATCAATTTGAACATACGTTTTCGAGTTAAATGAAGTTAATTAACATGGCGTTATGGTGTGATAAAGAATACAAGAATCTGCCGAGAGTTAACAAGACATACCGAGAAGTTTCAGCCCTGACAACTCCTCTGTCTTGGTATCCTAATATTTCTACTCTTCCTCTTACTTGGTAATGTTTTATGACTGTTTGCATAAACATTTTGGCAATACTCTTACAAAATGATTTCAACTCATTACATTATCATATAATTTGTCGATTTATCATCAACTAACCTACTTATTCTTCCTAAGTAATCTTGTATTACCACTCAGATTATTTTCTCAGACTTTCTGTTGAAAGACATTTATAACTGAAACTTCTCAGCACGTCTTGTTAGCCTCATCTGGACATTTGTGTTGTTTATTACACCATGTTGTGCCTTCTTAACTAACTTCATGTAGCTGAAAAAAAGTATGTTTTAATCCTTTCGTGACATGATATTTAAGTGTTAAGATATAAGCAGATGGTGTGGAGCCAGTGAAATAAAGCAGCATCAAGTTATTTTACTTTAATCGCTGTTCTTTCCTCGATTCAACTTCATAAAGCGGAATATATTAATAAAACTCTTGACCTAATGGACGTATAATGACGCATCAAGTGGTTTGTCCATCATTTTGAAGTGTAAACAAACACTGGGGTGAAAATAAGCATGCATGCAAAGATTTTATTCCAAAAGAAAAGCATCATTAGTTTGCAGTCTTTTATTCTTATATTGATTATTGTAAACTTCCGCTTAATGTTCGCATTTGTGAATTTAACTTAGACTAAACTTAATATACTCTTCAATTTTGTAGGGATACGGTATATCTAAAACGCATTAAATTCTCACTTTCATACAAAGATTAAATCACTTAGGTGAAATGATATTTTTCAGATGTCCATCAAGTAAATGGGATAAAGCTGTATTTCGGAAACTAACCGCTTGGAATAACAATAAAGGACCTGAATGTGTTAACTGTGGTGGTGTGCAATTCGAAGATATGTTGCTGGTGAACAATGATGAAGCAGCGATAGAAGGAAAACGTTTAATGAATGGAAATTTATATGATCAGATAACTGGTCCTGTATACAGGGTAAATATGTAGCTTTAAATTACTATCAAAATTAACCAACATAATGGTTTATAACATTGGGACGAATTTTTAAAATTTCATTTGTCTGTAACAGTCTAGTTAACAATCGACCAGTCACCCCCCCCCTTTTTTATTGGACTTAATTTTTAATCTGCAATGAGATGTAATCGACAGGCTACTATTATGATATAGAAGAAAGAATTACTTACCATTCATTTGTGTGAGTGTTGGACTGAACTGTTGGTTATTAACGGGAAGTTGATACCTCGTTAACAATAACCATTTTCCTTTCATGTGAATAACTCTCAGAGTGCAACCTTACTTAGGCTGGTCTGAATTATTTTGCAAAACTTGGTTTCCTTTTAAAAACACGAGGTAATTCAGGGAATAAAATTTAGTTTCAACGAATCATTTCCACCAGCTGTTCAGTAATAACAAACGAACAGATTAACCTATTATTGACCAACAGGTCAACATTAGGTCACCATAATGGAATGTTCTGAGGTGAAACAAAAATACCTAGATGCAACTATTTTCCCTATTTTTCCAAAACCGTTTAGGCTTTTTTTACTTCCTGATAGGTCATTCACATCAGTTGTGGAAGAATCATTTCACTGACATCCGTGCAAATGGCGAGGAAACCAGACAAGTCTAAGACTCTTCTTGTATGATGGGTGACTTTAAAGGCCAACCCTAATAACTGCTGAGATAACTAATAAAGATTCCCTATTTTATAAAATGTTACTTTCTCAACCGATATTCAGAGATCTTGTCGGTTATTTTGAGAAGTTGCTAGAGTGGTCTTTCATGCCACTCCGTAAATTCGAAACGTCGTAATGGAGACAGCCTAGAGAAGCGACTCCAGAATCTACTCAAAGTACTGCTGAAATAACCAATTACGATATTACTTTATTTAATTAAACTACTACTTTTCCAAAAGAAGTAAAGAAATCATATTGTTTGCTTCAATGGTTGCTGGGTGATGTTGAAATCGCTCCTATTATGCCATGTTCAGAGGTTCCCTCCATGATAGTCTTGACTAGTATACGCAGAACACGAAGGTGTAGACTTATTTACAGGACAGTGTATCAGATAATTTGTTATGCATAACCGTTCCAAAATGTTTCTTCTCCTTGTGACTTTCATAGGACTTTTCTCCGTTTACACACATTTTGCGAATAAATGCTTTTCACTTTTTCAATCATGTAATGTCTCGGTATTTAGTAACCTTAATTTGCCCTCTTCATCTTATTCGGTGATTCCATCTTTCAAGTAAACTTCTCTGAGTACAAAACCAAATAAGTTCAACTCATCATATCATCCGTTACTTATTAACCATTAAGCTGCTTCTTATTCTTTCCATGTAATCTTTTATTCTTGATACTAGAACACTTCGTTACAATTTATATTTTTCTTTGAAATGCCTGTTGAATGAGATATTAAAAAGCGGGACTTCATAGCATGTCTCATTAACTCCATCCGGAAGTTTGTATTCCTCATTTAATCATGTCGCTTCCTGTTGACTAAGTTCATCTGACTACAAAACGTAAGGTCAAGTACTTTGGGATATGATATTCAAAGGTCTTGGGTTTTTAACATCTGACAAGAAACCAATAAAATAAAGCGGTATCAAGTTATTCTTCTCTAATCGTTGTTCCTTCTCTATTCAGCTTCACAATGATGATAAAGTATTTGGAAATGTTCGGTTTTAGTTACGCTGCATGTGGGATTGCTGGAAGTTGGCACCAAAGAGCTCTTCATAGGTTTTGACATAATTCTGATTACTGTTAGACAGTCTAGCCTTTCTAGCCATTATAACACTAACCATCCTACTCATGGTAACCTGTTAGTATCCATAAATATTGGGGTTGTTCAGTGTATTAGTCTCACTCGATGACAAATTATATGACTAATCATCAGACAAGTACTGATAACTGCGACTATAAATTCCAATTTCATGGCTACATAATTCTGGATAGGTAATATAGACTCATCAGCTTGGCAGTCAAATGTGAAGCAACCGTAGCGCTTCTTCACAAAAAGTCATTTATCTGATTTCTATTTATACTATAACTTTCCACGATGTGCGAAACTTATACAAATTTATTTACTTTGTTTATATCTTCGTAACACAAACAGTGTGTCTGATGTCTTTATTAATCGTAAGTATATTAATTCCCGGTAACACAATCAGGGGAGTAAAAATTGATCCTATCGACATAGCAAAATATCTCAGAAAGTCATTTCTGAATCATCTGAAGGGTGTGACTAGTTTTTGAGCAGGGATACTGCTACGCAAATGATCTCCCACAGATTACTGTTATCAAAAATGTTTGACATTGGTTTTCAGAATTTTTGCATAGCTATCCAAATTAGGTCTGACACTTTCTTCAAATACAGGATAAAGCGGCACTATTACCGGAGACATAAGAAAGCTTTGGTAGTTCTGTGACATACAGTGATCACTTTACATTTTAGGTGAGCTAATATGGGGTTGTGAATGTTTTTCAGTTGATCCCAATGAAAATTATTTTCCTTAGAACAGAACCACTATCTTTAAAGCTCACTGACAAGCTGTAATAGTGGCGGAGTTTAGGCTCCTGGAAGGGATTGCCATGTTCCAGTTAACACTTTTCTGATATTCTAATGACTTCTGTTGTCGATTTTACCTGACTTAAGTATCCTTCAATCATATAGATAAGTTTTAGTTAATCCCAGTGTGTTTAGAAAATCGAAAACAAGATTTTTCTGAACGTTTCGCTGTGTATGCCAAAGATTCTTCGCGGAATCTTTCAGGACGTTAGTAACAACTATGGCCTGGATGTTAATAATCTGATTAAGTATTCTTTCTTCACAATATTCTAATGAAATCAGGTTGGGTTGTTTGTCATTTTTCAGAACACCACTCTTGTGTAACTTGTGCCTCAAAAATATTCACCTCTGGATGAGAAATGTGAGGAATCAAATGGGAGAGAACCCTGGGACTAGGACTCATGCTTGTCGGTACTCATCGACAAGGTATGGCTGCAACCATAAGCAAGCTGGTGTTTCACCAGTGATTTAATGGAAAATTCGTTTTAATGCTTTTATTTTCCTGTGGCTATGTAGGGTCGAATTGCTGACCTCGACATGATGAATATCAAGCAATACTCAGGCATCCATATAGGAGCCCATTTGCCAATAGAGTTCGAGCATTTCGGCCTTATATAACAACGGTAAATTATAAATATCAAAACAACAACTGATACTCGTTGCACAAGAGGTGGCTACCATGCCCCAGTGGCCTAATGGATAACGCTCTGGTGTTTGAAATAATGGATACTGGGTTCAAGTCTCAGTGATAACAACAGTCACTGGGGTGCAGGTACATACAGCTGATGACTCCAAATGGGACGAAATATGCGTCCTGGATTCCACTGCCAAGATGAGCATGATGATTTTATTCACCTAACAAAACGAATATGGTGCGACATATTTATACTCTAGAACTGATTGGTCGTATATGTATGGAATTATTTACTATTAACACAACAATATTCTATTCTATGAATCACATTCCACTATTGTCCAGGAGGGCTGGTTTCAGTTTCAAAGAGCATACCTCGTATTATTCGTGAATATTACATGTATTATTCTTTGATAACTATTTTTTATATGAAATATTTTCATGTTTTAATTTTACCTTATTACATCTCTTAATTATTAAATTTTTATTGATACGGCTTTTTTCAAATTATTTTTTTCAGAACTCTACAATTGTCGCCTTTGAGCCTGATCTCACTGATGGTATTCCAGACTGTCATACTAGAGCGGTTATATTACCATGGGCACCTGGTCTAACAGTTGATAATATGGTGATGAGAAATTTCAATGGCCAAAATTGTACAGCTATTCACGGAACCTTGATTACATGTTTGTGTAATAAACTTTGTGGTGGCTATGAATACTTGTTCAAGTGAGTTAGTGTTAAATTAAAAGTTTTTGACTTTATGTTACGTACCCCAGTTTTGCCTAACTTTTGCTTGGTATTTGCTTATAATCAAAGAATAACTTTATTATTACTGTTTTTGCGCCCTCTTGACACCCTTGCTTTTACTTTTCTCACTGCTTCTAAGGCTGAATTCTCGTTGGTTGTTAACTTTTTCTAACTTATCAGTGAATTTAATATCTGTCAAGGTTGTTTAGAATACATATATTCAGTACCGCTTTTAACTGTTTTGACTGTTGTTGAGACAGTAAAAGCTCTCTGTCAACGATCCATCTTCTCTTCTTGTCTTCACGTGTCGGTGGTATTGTTGTTGTGGTGTTTGACATTCTGATAGCGATTAGAGTAGATTCTTTGCGTGTTAGGTTCGTATAGCTAGTAGACTGTGAGTGCTTCCTCTTCTGTAAGGTATACAGGGTGCTAATAGGACATACTTATCAAACAAATTTGCTTGATCTGAAAGACAGTTTTGTTTATTGATATTCACCGTAAGAATCATGAATATTTCTCATTATACTGTACTTCATTAGCAACAAAACCATTTACTTACTCTTTTGATTTCCGTACATACATCTTATTCTTTGCATTCATTCAAAAATACCTACTCTTACGACATGGGTACTCACTATCAAGACATACAAATTGGTAACAACATCATTAAGTGATGTGATACAGAACCAAAAGCTGAAACGATAACGTAAACTAAGTGAAAAAGAAGTAGTTTCAGGGATACATTCAATAAAATATTTATCACCTTTACTTTGCAATAATTGAAGTGACAAGGGAGGTACAACATAGTTGCCACTGTTTTCGATTCTGAGTGATATCTGATAACGTTTGAAACCACTAAGCTTCATGATGTCTCTGACTTCATATAGGGCCTCAAGCTGCAACAGCAGATGTTAATGCACGACACATCCTTCATTATATAGTGACATGTCACACTGACCAATGTTTCGCTTCTTGCTTACAGTCTGAGGGTCAGCAAAGATGATGATGGATACAGAAGCCGTTGAGATGACGCAAGTAGCACATGTAAGCACAGAATTTTAGCACTATCCTAAAGTATAATTCCATATTAGATTAGTCTATTTGATATAGCACACGACTTTCACAAAATAGACAATATTCTACTATGTTAGTGTCCTAAATCAAATAAACTAATCTAATATGAAATAAGTAACACATATTCGACCCAATGAACTCGATTTTTTACAGGCGTACAGCAGAGCCAGCTGCAATGTTATTCTGTACACCTTACCGTTCACAGACAGCTAACATCTTGATAGAGCCAAAAGTGAGGCAGATTTTCATTCATCACTCTGGCTTTCGACATTCAGGTAGAAATCTCGTTAGTCATACCTCTACTCGCACTAACATGACTATTTATTTATGTTAATGTTTCTACCACTTCCATTTGTTCTTTTCCAGACGTGAAAGCAGATATCGGATCTTGTTAATCTGTTAATATAAGTTTCCACTTTCATGGCGCACAGTACGTACCATGTCTGTCTACACTGGTCGCCAACTAAGTAAAATACAATTTGAGTAGCTTATATGTTGCTGACTCTAGGTTAAAAATGCCTTCTACCTGTAGCAGATCTACACTACTACTACTGACTACTATTACTACCATAACCATCAACGAATATCTCCTTCAGAGTCGTCCTCAACATGCTATAGATGGCTAAGGTAAACTGGCATGTCAAAATCAAGCAACGCTGCGAGATCCCGCTGCTGATTTAGAACCATGGAAACATGCATTTGTGTGCTCTTAATTTACCTGAGATGTTTCTGTTGGACTCTAAGAATATTTACGCAATTCTCGGACCCGTCATTCTTTGACAGCAGATTTCGAATCCTAATTTTTTCTGTGGGTTGAAGGTAGCTTCAGTATCAAGAAACATGATAGCTTCTATCACGTAGTATGGTGTCACTCATAGAGTTCTGGTTAGCTTAATAGCTGCCTCTTTATGCTTGTTTGACATTATAAGTCTGCTGAAACCAAATGTCTCAAACTTTTGTCTCCAAATAAAGTTTATCGCCTTAAGGGGATTGTTTCCTAACTGTAGTAAGTATCTCTCTTTTGCAGTGCCCAGTGTCTTCTCTTATGTTAAAGTCAATATTCTTTCCTAAACGAGCACAAACCCTGCAGTTACAAGTCATAACTTTGTTTATTAAATCAGTCAACTTCTTGAATTCGAAGCGACCATGATGTTAACAGCAGATAAGAGCAATAATGAGTTATTGAATCAAAATACTGCTACCAAGGCGTGCAAGCTTAGACATAAAATTACACTGGTACACATGAGTAAGTTTATATTACTGCGTTGCTTGGCTATATATTATTTAGGCCAATTAGTTCATTCTATCTTTGTGCTACTGTAAGCGCATTTCATTTCTTCACCTGTAAATCACGATAAATACCTAATCCGTTTTTCATATCAGGAATATAAAATGGGAGAATACGAACAATCGTGCTGAGTTTCGATGGCATGGAGACTTTAGTCTTCGAGATGTAGATGGATCCCTAACAGACGGAATTCCGAATGTCTCAAAACTTCCTGGATCACTAATCATCGGGAAAGCAAATCATCTACCTCCCGAAAAATGTGGTCCCAGTGCTCCAGGGGCTGGAGACCTCGGAACTGCTTTCGGTCAAGGTGCAGTACAAGGTGTTCGGTGTTTGCCAGATGTCACAGCACTAAGATTTTCTGTTGATTATACTAATCCAGCAGGACTTACAGGTGGTAACATGACTGTAACTTTGCTAAATGGTGGAACGGAACAAGTACCTTTCAAAACTGAAGCTCTTACAGATAAACAAGGATGGATGACTACACTCATCAATAACAGAACTTATATTGTTAATTGGAATGCAATATCAACATTCACCAACCTCAGTTATGTTGGTTATTTGGAAAATTTCAGGGTAAGCGGGAAAATTTTGATCTAAAACATTTAATTCGCAATTCTATAAATTATCTCTAAAACTTCATGTAATTTTGACCATCTTAAAACAAAATCAACGATTAAGTTTTAGTAAATGTGGTAAAAAAACTCTTCATTAAAAAGTGATATTAGTCATCAAGGAAAGCTGTTTTGTCGTATCGCGTTGCTTGCCAGCAGTGTACACCCATGACTTTTAAAGCATTTTGATATCTTGATGAGTTTCCTACTCTTCATCTACTTAGTTGAAATCTAATACCTGACATTTTTCAAATTCAGTCACCTCTGTCTACAAATTGACCATTATTTCATGTGGCTGAAAATGATCTATCCTCAACACTAACTTGGTTGTTTCTAATAAAGAAGAAGACATTACATCAACCAGACGAAAAAATTGCTAAATGCTTATTATTTCTGAGTGCTTTCGTAAATAGTATCAATTACAGTTACCTTTTAATCAGTCGGATTCTCACAAACGATAAAATTGAAGAGAAAGAATCGGAACTCACTTGGTCATCCCAATCAAAACTGTTTATTGGAGTCAGAAAATTTATTCTGACTGCATATTTAAACATATAATAAGGACTTCAAAAAATATTCTAGTAATGAATGAATGCCTATAAGGCTCTCGAGTGGAATCCAAAGGGGAAACGACGAGTTGGGTGTCCGTGGTGAGGGTCACATGGAGGAGATTATATGAGGAAGAAATGAAAGCTTGTGAGCAGTCATAGAGCGAGGTTCAAAAGACTGCAGAGACCAGCGTGGAATGGAAGCGTGCTACTGAAGACCTATGTTCCATTAGGAACTCAAGGGAAAATAATCATATTATTATTATTATTTTCCCTTGAGTTCCTAATGGAACATAGGTCTTCAGTAGCACGCCACCATTCCACTCTGTTCTCTGCAGTCTTTTGAACCTCGCTCTATGACTGCTCACAAGCTTTCATTTCTTCCTCATATAATCTCCTCTATGTGACCCTCACCACGGACACCCAACTCGTTGCTTCCCATCTGGGTTCCACTCGAGTGCCTGGCCTGACGCGTGATGTCCCCGAATGGTCTTCTAAGTGCATGCCTAATCCATCTCCACTTTGTTAGGCGATAGGTTCTTGGTTAGTCTGTTGCCCAGCCAGAGTTTCTTGTTGCTTATTCCTATTATTCTGGTCATCTGATCTACAGTATCGAGCGTAGGCAGCTGTTGATGAATCTCTGTAGTTTGTTGGAAATCCCTTTCATAACGCGCAAACCTCTGAACCATCACATAGAAGCAGTGACTTGAAATTAAGGTTGAAAATCCGGATCTGGTTCCACGTGCTGAGTGCAGTAGATCTCCACAATAGTTTCAGGTTGATGAAAGTCTGTCTTGCTTTTCCGATCCTGGCTTTGACGTCCTTGTCTGTGCTGCCTGTAGTTGAAACGATGCTGTTTAGGCAGGTAAGCAGGTGAAAGAGGCTACTTCCTTTAAGTTTCTCCCGTTGATGGTGGCTGGAGCTAGTTGTTGTTGGTGGTGGTAGCGTTTCTTGAGTATCATCATCACCTGTCTTCTCTATGTTCACCTGAAGTCCCATCTTTGCTGCTTCTTCTGTCAACTTCTTAGTTTTCCTCTGTAGATCATTGAGTTTGTGCGACATTAGACATAAATCGTCAACGGCGAAATCCAAATATACTAGGCTCTTTTCATCGGTCAAAAAGCGAATGCTCGTCTTTTCGCTCGTCAGAGTTTGCTGCATGATCCAGTCCAATACAATCAAGAAGATCACTGGTGATGGTAGGCGGCAGCCACGTCTCACTCCTGTCTTCACTTCAAAGGCGTCCCCGACCATTCCATTGTGAATTACTTGTCACGTGTCCTCTTCATATATTTGTTGAATGATGTTAATAAAGAACCGTAGTGTTGCATCAGCAGCCTGATAAATCACTTCTCGGTCGACGCTGTCGAAGCAAAGCCTTTTCAAAATCGATGAAGTTGAGGTAAGGTAGAGAGTTGACTTCCATTGTATACTCTGTTCTATGATGATGTGTAGTGTGGCGTTGCATTTTGATCCGCACATGATTTCTTCTCACTGAAATCAGTCAGCCAGCCAAACAGCCAGCTAGCCAGCCAGCCTACCTGTCTGTCTGCCTACCTGCCTGCCTGCCAGCCTGTTCCGGTGGTAATTTTGAATCCAGAATACCTTTCAATCTCTCCAGGATGATGTGGCTTAGTGTTTTGCTTTGAGTGGACATGGTTGGAGTATGATTGCGTGCCAGTTGTTGCAGAGACTAAGGTCTATCTTCTTTGGGAGTTTGACAAGGTAGCACATCTCCCAGTCGAAAGGTGACTTTCCTACCTCCATTCCTCCCCTCCTTCCTTCCTTCCTTCCTCCCAAAACTTCTGCAGTAGTGGTGTGAGCATGTCCACTGTTGCCTCTGTGTATGTTTTCAGTTCTTCTGGAGGAATTCCATCTGGTCCTACTGCCTTCCCGGATTTCAGCGACTTTATGGCGTTGAGGACTTCACTTCTGGTTTTGTCGGAGGGCTTGTGTTCACTGGTAATTCAATGGCTGGATTGGGCTGAGCTGGGCTGCTGGTGGTGGTATTTGTTGTGGACGAGTTGCAGCTGGTGGTGGTTGTGGTTGTGGTTGTGGTGGTGGTGGTGTTGGTGGTCGATTCAGGAGTTTTCTGAAGTGGTCAGCTCATCGTTTCCCTTGTTTCTCCTCCTCGGTAACTAGCTCTCCTTCACCATCTCTCGTTGGCTTCATCTGAGTTGATCTCTCCCATTCCACATGGTAACCTGGTTGTTTGATATAATCTTGTCAGGTCTCTCTCTATCTCTCCTACCTGCAGCCTATTCTACTTGAATTGCAAGTGTGTCGTAGAAGTGTCTTTTATCTTTGAGCACACTCTTCTTCAATTCTCTATACAGTGTAGTGTTTTATAGGTTGTGTTCACTTCCTCTTTTCCTTCTTCATCCCGGCACTACACTACACTGCACTGCACTGGAATGCAATGCAATGCAGTGCAATGCACTGCACTGGTTCATCTTCTGCTTCAACATCACCATCTTCCTCTCCTTGCTCTTCCAGCTTCCATGTGTCCCTCCACATCCATAACTCGTCTCGCCTCTCCCTCTTCCTTTCTAACACGGTTATGCAGGTTTCCTTCCACGTCGCTTTCACACAGTTCCAGTGTTCTCCCATGCATGTTTATTCAGGAATGTTGCTCAATGTCTGCCGTTTTGTCCTGATGGTTGACTGACTTGAGGATTTCCTTTGTGGTTTCGTCCTTCAGTTCAGTTCAGTTTAGTTCAGTTCAGTTCAGTTTGTGTTCTGGGTGTTGGACTTCAACTGTGGTCTATCATCATCATCTTGTTTGAGGGCTTACAACTTGATTTTGAGTGTTGGTTCCTTGCACTAGTTGGTGGTGTGAACCTACATGTGTTCCTCTTCTTCATCTGAACTTGTGTCCAGTAGGCTGGCTGCTTCTGCACTATCTTCAGATTGAGATGAAGTTGATCTGATTTTCAGTGTAGTGTGTCCTGGTGTCTTGTGAAATCCATGTCTCTGCCTGGTGAATATCCTCTTGTTCGTTCACACTGCCTCCAATCACCAAATCATTGAATGCGCAGAAGTCTTCAAACAGTTTTCCATTCTCATTCATTTCACCGAGTGCTTCTCGACCCATGATTGGTTCTCTTCCTGTGTTGTCTCCTTCCATTCATTCATGTCATGCATTCATGTCACCAACCACAATTTTGATGTCGCCAACTGTGTTGAAGTCATGTCTAGTACTGATCGCAGTTGTCTATAGAATTCCTGCTTCTTCTCTTGCTCTACATTATTTGTAAGTGCTTAGTGTGGCATTGTATGATTGTGACTTTCCTTCCTCTCCAGTTGAATCCATCTTGCAGTCATGATCCTGATGCTGTAGTAGGAGATTGGTTCACACTGCATGAGAGGAAGAGAGAGAGAGAGAGAGAGAGAGAGAGAGAGAGAGAGAGTATCTTCGATGCTGTTTGGAGGGGGACATCGTGATATTCACTCGGAAACTCAGTGTGTTGGTGGTTGTTGTCTTGGTGACGATATTGGAGTAGATTATTGACTCTCTAGTTGACAGTTTGCATGCTTACTTTTGCTTTCATCGAGAGAAGAGAAGGCACATCGTCTAATTGGTTTCCCGAAGGCTTTCACCAACCGGCGTCATTTCGTCTCTTCGATTCCAGTAAAGAATAAGTTTATATTTGTTTGTGCTTTGAAGTTTGTTTAGCGGTTGGATTGATTTTCCGGGGTAGGGTTGCTAGCCGTATGCCCAACCTTCTCTCTTTGCTCGGGTTTAGGACCGGCTAGTAACTAGTGAACTAGTTAAACAGGCGAGGTTAAGGGAAAATAATAAGTGATAATAAAAGAACAGAAGAATATTGTTTGTATTACCAAAAAGGACTGTTAATATTTCTTTCCCGCTAGGAGGTGATGACATGCTAAAGGTAGTTAGACGAAGACTGTTAAATTCTCTCAGCATAGACTATTATATCAGAAAATGCATGGTCTTTAACACCATTTCAAGAATCAAGAGAAAACAGGACTTCGATCATCAACAACTTGATATGAAAATGTCATTTCGAGCACTTAAGTGCATAGGTCATACGGAAAGACACCTGTGTATTGAGATATTTGAGCACTTGTCTGAATTACTGTGGCGTACAGTAAAGATTATTCAATGGGTCTCGGTAACGAAAAACCTCATGGACTATGAGCACAACACTGGTGTTTTCGACTCTTTTATGACCACTGGTTGGGAGCAGACTTGAAAAATCCTAACAAATGTAAAAGCCTAAGCGATTCTAGTTGTTAAGAAATAACGATTCGCAGCAGAAAATAGTAGTTAGTTTAAATCTAGCATGGTGCTTTTTGGCTTCAGTTGCTGCTCCTTTGTAATCATTATTGTTACTCTGATTGTTTCGTTTAATTAATCCCATTTCCACAGCCATTGTAGCCATTACTGATT